AAAAACACAAAAATTGGGATAAAATTTTCCGTCTACCAATGCACCAGATGAATAATATGTATGGACATCTTTACAAATTTAATATATTCCATTTAATCATTAGCAAGGATGATTTCGACTTGAGAGGGGTTTAACGTCCACGGGACACAAACTAGGTCATTTTGGGGCGAACATTCAGTCGTCATCAAGGATGATTTTGACTTGAGAGAGAAATGAGGTGTAAGGTCTACTCGACACAAACTAAGTAATTTTGGGACTAACATGATACAGTTTTATTTCAATAATTCGCGTGTGCGAAAAGAGAGAATCCGTGAGATTGGACAGACAACACTAGACCATGTTACCTACAAGCTTGTAATGGAAACCTAGCCACTTAACTCTATAAAATACCTTATGATCTATAGCGCATGTGTTAGATCACTTTTGACTTAACCAAGGGACAAGTTTCACGAATGTCCAATGAAATTTACACATAGAATAAAAATTATATGAATAATATGATATAGTAATGAAATGAAACATATTTCAGCTCTCGGGTAAAAGATCACTACGTGGTTCGCAGTGTACTTTCTCGTGGCTGGGAATGTTCGGTGGAGAGCCGGACAACCGATCACAAACTGTTACGTTGCCCATGGCTTGAAGAAATTGAAATGTTTCTGCGGGATGTACATGTTCGCGCGTATATCAGGTTTTAAGGACGGGGGGTTGTAGATGATCCAGTGGCATAAACACATGATAGCATGACACACATGCTAAAATTGATTATCATTATATCTTTTAAATTAACAATAGATGGAATGTTAGAATTGCATATGTACACATATATAGAGATATTAAGTATGGTATTGTTCGACGGGTGCCTCTGTTCACTGTCGACTATCTTTGAATGACCACTGATTATCACCTTTTCTTCCATGGTCGGTTACTTGAACGTGCCAAATAGGTTATTTTGGTCAAAAATATTTTAGGAATTAGACCGCGCTTATTTCCATCTGTATTTAGAAGCCGATCAGTGTATAGAAACATTTGGAAGTTTTAATGGAGAGTTATTGAAAATCAGGAGACAACATACATTCCATATTAAAATCTACTGAAGGGAAAGATGACATATATAGGCCAAAACATCAGTACAAATTTAAAATGGGGTCCCAAAACTAAGAACATAGGAAGGCAGGTCAGGATCTTAAGTGAACACTTCTGCTCGAACATAGGTATGCAAGTGTAGTCAGAATTATCCCATCTCCAATAGAAGGCTTGATCTCACTTTAACTAGAACATCTTATCAAGGCACCCACCCCGGCGTCCACCCCCATACAATAGGAATCTTATAAACATATTTAGAGATGTTTCATCAAGCTCTTAGAAAATCATCATTTAAATCAACGTGAACTCATTTCCCCGCCAATTTTATCCCCACCCCACCCCTCCACACGCGCACACCTGCTACCCCCACCCCACCTCCCCATAACTCAAAACAGTTGTCCAGGGGCATCATAAACACTTATTTATAGATGGGCAGTCCTAGAAATTTATGTTTTATTAATATAATTATGTCAACATAATGACATCACCCCCCCCCCTCCATTGTAGACATTTGACCCCCTATATCTCGAAAACACCCCCACAAACGCCTGATCACCACCCAGATTCGGAATCTACGCAAAAAAACTGATCTAGAAAAACTTGGTCTTATAAATTCACAGCTCGGGTGGCGATTCCCCCCCTTCAGCCACCGGACTAATAATTTTAAATACCCTGTACTATGTACGTTAATCATGTTATATATCAGATTATAACATTCATGGTATATATATATATTCATGGGTAAAATGTAAGACCCGTAAAACGAATGTCATTGTTTTTGTGTCGTACTTGTGTTCAAAAGAAAATTTATGCACTCGACTCTAATCAAAAATATGATTAAAACAAAATATTTCAAAAGTTAAAAGCTATAAACTTGGCAGAGATTTTACTAGAATGTTAAAGATAGTAACAAAATAAAGGAATACGTATAGTTATGTGTGTGAAGCCCAAACTCAATACCGAGCCGGGATTACACAAAACATGAATTGTCGTAAAAGTACCGTAAACCGTGACATCTTGTAATACCTTTTTTATTCGTTGGGATAATAAATTGTGCAATGGATTTTAATTAACGGGAGTTGATTTCAAACACACAGGTAAGTTTATAATAACCAAAGTTAAGTAGTTTGATCATAATCGAAGAAATCCGTTTAAAATTTACGATGGTGCAGGCCAATATTTGCTACTTCGGCCGAGAAAATGTATGTAATAAACCAAACATCAAACACAACATCGCACTAAAACGGGGCACCCTTTAATATTAGCAAATATATCTTGCAGAGGACAGGTCACACAGCCTCGAATTACGGTCCAGTCAATATTTACTTTAAAAGTTATGTATAAAATACTATTCGAAACGTCGCCTAAATATATCAGAAGTTGTTTCCATAGGTATATGTTATATAGAGAATCTCTTACGAGCCTTTTGTGATATTTTTTGATATCAAAAAAGACGAGTAGGAGATTTTATTTATCACACAATCCTTTCTTATGTGCACAAATAAATAAATATAATTCTTTGCTATAGACTTCACTTTTACTGAACCTGATTACATTACGGCGTAGTGATACATCATTTTTTGACAGCAATTCAACCATTGCAAAGTCCTTTGTATTGACCATCAAAGTCAATTAAATAAAACTAATTCATTTTTAATAAAAAAAGGAGTTACTTTTAATAAAAAAAGGAGTTACTTTTAATAAAAAATGAACTGTTCTTTGAAAATACAAAAATGTAGTTCCTTTTTAACTGACCAATCAAATTCATGTAAAGGATATCTCCTAGGCCTAAGAAGATATCGCAGTAGATTGTGAAATTTATCACACAAGCGATATCTACTGTAGAATGTATTATTGGGTGATAAAGTTTATTACTCTAAATATACTGAGCGCCATGGAAAACGCACCACTTTTTTTCCCAAATATTTTATTACTAGGTGGTTTTGTATGTATAATATTATGCAATACTATGAACTATTGTTTCACACAATGCTCCCAAACGCAAAAAATATCGGCATGCACAAAAAAAATTGTACGAGATGCACATGAAAAACCCAATATTCACGTGCAGCATTGTGTGTGAGCCCTTTAAAAACATTTTTTTAACTTAATGTGCAGTACATGAACTGTGAAACGTCAATCTGTCGTAATTTGTTGTTGGATGTGTGAAGGAATCGAGCTAGAGATGCCGAGACTTACTGAAAATCAACGGAATGAAGCCATGGGAATGTCCAGGGCTGGCAAGTCTACACGTGCTATTGCCAGACACTTCAATTGTCATCAGTCCACTATTGTAAGGTTGGTGGAACGTGTTCGAGTTACTGGATCAACACGTGACCGTCAACGTCCTGGTCCACAACGCGTTACAACCCAGGCTCAAGACCGCTTCACCCGGGTCACTCATCTGCGTGACAGATTCCGCCCAGTGACTCGAATAGGTGCAGCAGTCGTCGGAAGACAAGGACCTTACTGGTCTAAGAGAAGTAGGACTCCGTGCACGACGACCTTATGTTGGCGCTATCCTCAGGGATCATCACCGTCAGCGGCGTTTGATATGGACTCAAGGACACCAGACATGGAGAAGAGTAGACTGGCAAAGTGTGCTCTTCAGTGATGAGAGTCGCTTTCATCTTTATCACGCTGATGGCCGTCAACGTGTGTGGAGACGTCTTGGGGAACGTCTTGCAGACTGCTGCGTCTTCGAAACGAATCGATGGGGTGGGAGAAGTGTAATGGTTTTGGGAGGCTTCACATTTCATCACCGGACCGCCCTACACATTTGCAGGGGTCGCGTTAATGCTGTAGCCTACTGTGATGATGTCTTGCAACCAATTGTTGTTCCGATGTTTCGAGCGCACCCGCAACTTCAGCACTTCCAACAGGATAATGCACGTCCGCATACCGCCCGTTTTAGTATGAACTACCTGGCTGCTAACAACATCAATGTCTTGGACTGGCCAGCCATCTCTCCGGACATGGCACCGATAGAACATGTCTGGGATGAGATCGGACGCCGTCTGTGTCGTGACCACAGATGCACACCATTGCTGCTTTAGAAGCTGCTCTTGTCCAAAAATGGAACAATTTGCCCCAGGCCTTCTTTCAAACATTGGTAAATTCCATGCGACGTCGCTGCACAGCGTGCGTAAGAGCCCGTGGAGGACACACGCGCTACTGACATCTGTGTCGTACTTTTGGTTTCGACCCCTCTGATTTTGTACCGTTGATTACAGATTAAACATCCATAAGTGTACAAATGTGTTGTTATTGATGTGTTCCCATTTGAATATTGTTCACAATAAGAAGCAAAATAAATAAGATATGTTTACAGGATCATTTTGTTATACGAAAAACTAAGTGATGCGTTTTCCATGACGCTCAGTATATATTAGAAGCTGTGTCCATAGGTATGTGTTATAGTTTATTACTCTATATTAGAAGCTGTTTCCATGGGTACATGTATGTGTTATAGTATCCAGTTACTAAAAGATGCATAGTTTCCATTACCTCTTTCTTATATGCCTGGTTGTGTTTTTTAAAGGAATTATGTCCTACCTTTGTATAATATATGCATAGCTACTTACATGTACTATTTGGACACTGGCAATGTTTGAACCCTATATCGATTACTTCCCTTGTTTGCAACCTTTTCTACTAACTAAATAGTTGTAAACCGTTTTTATCAGTGTACTACCCAGCTTTCTTGTAAATACATGGCCGATCAGGACATAATTCTAGAATAATACAATGTTTGGAAAATGCTCTCTTTTTTTTGTGTTTTGTGTGTCCATGTGTTATGCTTGTTGGGTGTCTAGTCCACGGGTTTGACATCTGGGTTTCTATGATTGTGCTGTCATATTATATATATATAGAGAGAGTCAGTTTAATGAAGCCACCAATATTCTAGATACAAAGGATGGAACATAAACATTTTATTCAACACACATATACAATAATAATACAGAAAATGAAGTCAGTTGGAATGTTAAAGGATTACATTTTTAAAAAAGAAAATGAACAGATGAAAAACTAAAATGGAATTCATATAACACACATCCATGTACACATATGCAGCCATACATTATCAATCCGATGACGAACTATAATCGCCTTAAAATACGATTTAAAATGGTTGGGTTTTTTTCGTACCTGAGACTAAATATCTAAAATTAATACATACAAGTAATATATTTACACATATTGAGCAATAAATGAAAGTTATGTGCCACAAAGCAATAAAATATTTAATGAGCAATTATTTTAATAAAGCAACATAAACTTTATTTTGGGTTCCACAGTTTTATGTAAATTCACAAAAAAGCTAAAATCAACTTTTAAATATATATATTTTAGATTGAATAGAACCGCGTCAATCCTATATCACGTGGTATGTGTCGTATTATAAATACTGAAGAAAAGGGACAATGAAAATTAGGTTTCATATAATAGAAGTGAAGAAGTATCTAGTAGTGGCTAGGGGTGGGGTGGGGGTAAGTTTTAGTCATTAAAGATTCATTGTGTAAGATTTAGATAAGTGTTAGTCTTGTTATAATAGTTAACAAATAGTAGTGCAGCATGAATATATTGAAAATTTAATTCAGATTACTTTGTTCTGAGCAAAGCTATCACTGTTCGGAGTTTTGACAATATGTGGCATTTATTGTCTATTATCGTAACAACGATACTTGTTATTCGAGACTTTTCCTAGCTTGTCCATTTTTAAACTAAATCATTAAATTTGTCGAAGCTTTCTAATCCACTTAAAGTCGGAACCATCTGATGACCTGGAGGGATGATTAAAGATACATTATGCAAGAGCTAAATCTGTCTATTGCAGGTCTTTCTTTAGGCCTGAAATGTTATCTAAATTATTATTTAGACATTAATTAACCTATCCAGACCATAATTAACTCTAGATGGCATCGCTAGCCTGCGATCTTTAGTGGATTATGAGCCGATTTACTGCATAACTTTCCTTCACGATTTAACGATTAAATGGATAATTGAGACTATGCTGTTTATCGTACTGAATTTAGTAATGATGATCGAGGCTAGGCGGACATTTCAACCGCTTAGTGCTCGGTTCATAGTGGATCAATTTGAATGAAATTTTTAGCAAATTGCCATTATATTATCTAGTTTTTAACTATTATAGTGAGAATTGCCAACTCGTTATCGAATCTCCCATAATGCATCTTTAAATAATAGTTCATATATGATTTGTAGCCAAAATTGAGACCCGCAATAGGCAGATTTAGCCCTTACAGAATACATGAATATTATTGTTGGGGGAATCCAGTACAGCATAACTAAAAAGGGTCAGCCAGAGCACGTCGATCTTTGTTGGAAATTACCCCACTGTCCAGTGATGTGCTACTTCACAGACTCTTCTTATCAGCAGCAGTCTTCTTTTACCCTGCAGAAACCCGTAGCCAGCTTTCCTTTATATATAGGAACTAGACGTAGTGTCACTGTACCGTCTATTATACACGTCGTTCTCTCTCTTCACCTGGTATTTATCACTACTATCTGTAAAATAACAAAGTTTGAATTTGATTAAATGTAATCTGTTCAGTCGTCATTGAGAGAGAGAGGGGGGGGGGTCAAATATTAATAATTGGTTTGTACGGAGGGGTCTTTAGCAGTGTGTGTGTGTCTGTCTGTGTGTGTGTGTGCGTGTGTGTGTGTGATGGTGTGTGATGGTGTGTGTGTTGGGGGCGGGGAGGGGGGTGTTAAAACGCACGCGTCACACTACTGGGTCACTTCCAATATGGAAAAACTCGGCTCAAAATATTTTCAGCATAGGAATATTTATTCTCTGGACATCAAAGCGAGGCATGGTTGATGATGTTGCTTTAGTCGGGCAGCAATTTTGGTAAGCGCGATTCGAATAACCGCAACTGTATACCATTTCCACAAGATTGTTACAAACCTCCAATATGTGTCGTTCATATCGTCATATCCGTTGTACTTGTTAAATTCGTTATGTGTAAATAACGCCTAGAATTAGCGTGATTACCTCGTTTCTTGCCTTCTGTAATACTTCTGAGTGTACTTAAAGTCTGGTTGTTATTGATTGTGGCTGGAGCAGTTGCTGAGTAACCTGCAATCATCAAATTATATACTTACTAGCCTGGATAATCAATACTATTTACAAACAAACTGGGCTACCGAGACACATTACATCAAGGTGTTTCAAAGAGTCTTGTCCAAAACTGTGTAATGAAACTTCGGCAAAATTGAGACCACAGGCAATTGGTCGTGTAAATCCTATCGGCTTTTTGTGGAAGGTGGTACCACATAGGCAAAAAAGGAGGTATGAGAAGAATTTTTTGAAAAAATTGATATTTTTTATAAGTCCAATATCTTGCGGAACTCTTGTGGTGAAAAACACCACAGACCCAAAACACTCTACCAAAATTATTCTAAGTCGAAAATTTTGTGGAATGTGGTACCACACAGGCACATAGGAGGTATGAGAAGAAATTTTTGAAAAAATTGATATTTTTTCTAAGTCCAATATCTTGTGGAACTCTTGTGGTGAAAAACACCACAGACTCAAAACACTCTATCAAAATTATTCTAAGTCGAAAATCTTGTGGAATGTGGTACCACACAGGCACATAGGGAGGTATGAGAAGAAATTTAGAAAAAATTGACACCACAGACCCAAAACACTCTATGAATATTATTTTAAGTCGAAAGTCTTGGGGAATGTATTTATTTTCAGAAACCCAGTATCTTGTGGAACTCTTGTGGTGAAAAGTTCCACACAAATGCCCCCAAACCTTGCCATAGATGGCAAAAGCAGCGTTTAACACGCCCCTTGTCGTTTATTTGATTTTTAAAATGGATAACACAAAGAGAATTAAAGTCTTAATAAATAAGATACCATTGACATAGAATTACATGAAATAGTGCTCTGAAAAACAAAACGTGCGTCTATCATGCAATATTGTCAATACAGCCGATTAAATCTGAATGGCGTGTGGTAAGTATAACACACAATGTTAATTTGTTAATGGAAACATGCAATGTTAGATATTCTTATATTAATATGCTCTTTTGTGAAAAGAGGCAAAGAGACCAAAATGCTGCAGATCTAATATTATAAAGCCGCATTAGAATTAAGACTGCTGGTCAAATCAGTGCCAGATAAACCATTGGTCAAATAAGGCACGTGCCTTAGGGCAAGCCAGGAATGTAGGCTACAAAACAATAAAGTGAAAAAAAATAATTGATAATTATCAGGCGATGGCATAAATGTTTCCCTTTATTTTTATGTAACCAAAGTGCGCAGCGTTGTAATCTAGCTACTGTAATCTTGTAGTAATTATAGTAGAGTAAAAATAAAAACTGTTTTTAATTTTTTGTAATAAAATTTTCTGTTGTTAAATTTAACTTTCTTCCTTCTATCGGTGAACCCCAAATATCTGTATTATCAGGCCACCTGTCAAAATGTGCCTTAGGACCAGCAGAGCCTTAATTCGGCACTGGGTCAATCCAATTTCTATACACATTACAAAATGTTAGAAATTTAAAGTATCAAACGGCTCTTTCAGCATTAAAGGGGGATAAATCGTCATCACCACTAAAAGATTGTTGCAAATATCCACCATCTTTTTTCTTCAAAATCATTATTTTTATTCATGTTTTAGGCAACTTAATGCAATGGACAAAAGATATAAAGAGAACCTTTACATATATATAGGGTGACACACGCACCTACAGAAATACAGTCAACCGCTGATAGTTCGAGACTACCACTGAAGCGTGCACATTCGCCGTGTCGAGGCACGTGCAATTCTCTACAAATCTATCAACTATTACAGCCGTAAAAAAATTATTGTTGACGATTTTGAATAGCAGTAAAATTAAGCTTCTTGGTTATTACAGCAAATTTAGAAATTACGTTCGTTTCATTTTTTAAATCGCTTTATCATTAACTGTACCGTTAAGAGCGGCATCTTTTGGTTTAGTACAAATAATATCTCAGAAACACTCGGGTTAGACAGGAACATGATACTAGCAGTAGTTTCATTTTACTTTTACAAGCTTCTTAAAACAATTGTTGAGCTAGCTAACGTGCTCATTTCTAAATTCAATTTCTTGTTCTAGCTTTCTGTTATGTTTCGTAAAAAAGTAGTCTTGATTATCCCGACCTGTCAATCAGCCCTAGAATGGTCGATAGACTGGTTAAGCGAGACTAATTTCAAAACAAGGGCACGTAACCTATCTTTTACTCAAAAGTGTCTGGATGTTATGGACGACACATGGAACCAGTTTTCAGTCTATTATTTATAGATGATTAATGGTCATAGCTTATTAAGTACAACATGATCGTTTATTTAGTGACTATAATTGTGTGAAACTGATTTGAGGCTTGGCATATATATAAATATTGTGGCGAAATTGTCGAGATATATGGAGATATTTATTTATGGTGGGTCACCCTAATATATATCCTGAGAGGTAAATTATTTGGATTAAATGTTATTTTAACTATGCGGACTATAATAACAGAAAACAGAAAAAGTCACAGCAGACGCATAGATGAAGATCAAACTGTTATTTTTTCACCGTTAGAATATATATATAACAGTTTAAATCTACGATTATCAAGTGTTGGTAGGTGAAAGGCTTTAGATGGTAAGGTAATGTACGCCCTTTCAACCATGTCTGTAAATAACTCAATTTGAATGCCACAATCGACCATAATTTCTGATATAGCAATGGGTAATGAGCTAGTACCATCTATAAAAAAATATCTGAATTATCAGGCTAAACTTATTCCTACCGATGACTGGAAATTATCAATAAATTTAAAAAGTCATCAGTGAATGTAAATATTTGTAAAATGCCAATAGATTGGAGTTGCTTCTGTCTTCTGTTATATTTGTCTTATTCAGGAGATTGATCTACAGCTAAATAATATGTCGTTAAGCATTGATTGCACTTCACTTTTTCTATATTAGGCGTATGAACTACTGTGTGAACCATCGTAAATTTTAAACGGATTTCTTCGATTATGAACAAACTACTTAACTTTGGTTATTATAAACTTACCTGTGTGTTTGTAATGAACTCCCGTTCGATAAAATCCATTGCACAACTAATTATCACAACGATGAGAACAAGTTCTCTCTTGAAAAATTTGAAAATTTACTTGTAATTTCGACAGAGTCGATGTCAACAATGTCTTCGTGACGTATTGGTCGAATCCAATATACCTGTTGCGGGGGTTGGTTAACATTGAAAGATAGTTTGACGAAAAATATCAATTGAAGGCAATTACATAGGAGATTTATATGGAAACCATTGATCGCCAGTCTATCAAATTTTCTTCACAATTAAAATATCACTGATTGCACGGATACTCGTAAAAATAAAGTCATGTATAAACTATAAATATCCTATCTTCTTTATGTTGTCTTTGAAAGGCATTTAGTGAAAGTGATATATAATAACAGACAGCTTTATTGACGACATTCACTAGGTTTATTAACTGCAACGTTTCAATGAGGTTACTCTCACCGTTATCAAGCAATGATACCACTAGTTTTATTAACTGCAACGTTTCAATGAGGTTACTCTCACCGTTATCAATTTATTAACTGCAACGTTTCAATGAGTAACCTCATTGAAACGTTGCAGTTAATAAACCTAGTGAATGTCATCCATAAAGCTGTCTGTTATTATACTTCTTTATGTTATAAATAATTTAACAAGGATCATGAAGCTTACCTCCGAATTCTCTGAGTGTATTTTTAATTTTATACGCATTCTGTCGATCGAATAATAACCGCTTCAGTAACATATATAATGGTATATAATGCTACTAAGCCCGTATGACCCCGTAAGAAGCGGAACATTAATTCTCGATTCGACAGTTTTGACCGAAGTGTGATAAAGCCCGTAAAACGAATGCATAGTTGTGTTTGTGCGGCATGCGTGTTCAAAAGTAAATAATCCCATCCGAGTCGCTAATCAAATAATTAGAACAAAATATTTCAAAAAGTAAAGCTATAAAATTTGCAGAGATTTTACTACTAGAATGTAAAAGACGGTAACTAAATACAGGAATGCGGGTAGTTATGTGTGCGAACGCTCAAACTCAATGCCAATTGTCGTAGGTATCCAGACCACTCGGACTAAAGACTACTCGGACTAAGACCAGTCGGACCAAAACAAGACCAGTCGGACCAATTGAATTATATTATAAGGCTAGACAATATGCTATTTATTTATTATTAAATCACAATACAAAGAAGCAAATAATTCTTATACGGAATTCTTATATGTAGAGTTGTTTAGTTCAATTTTGTGTACGGAAAATAAATCAACGATTAGTTTTAAAATTAATTAATAATGGTGCCAAAAAAAATATCAATCTAATTTTTCTTATTTACTCTTGCAATGAGACTCGGTATGTCCAGACTTTTGACAGTTTCTACATATACGGGTATACTGTTCTTGTCTGATAGCCTAATTTTACTTTTTCCACATTCGCGGTATCCCCAGTGGTTTCATTCCGTTCTACCCCACTAACCCCTGGGTTACTATATATGGGGGGGGGGGGGGGAGACACGTTTTCAAGTTATCCGCCCTTGATGCGTTAATATAAACAGCACATAATAATACGAAGACCGGACGTTTTTATGTCCCTTTTTAAACGTGACTACAAGTGTGGTTCTCGATATTTTGCGATTTGGAATACAATTATCAATTTATTCAAACAACACGTTATTATTAGTTCGAGTAGTCATATTAAAACACACACAATTATCAATTTATTCAAATAACACTTTATTATTGGTTCGAGTAGTCATATTAAAATAAACACAATTATCAATTTATTAAAATAACACTTTATTATTGGTTCGAGTATTCATATTAAAGGCTCAATACCACTCTTGTTGTAACTGAATAATATGTCCCAATCTTTATTCTGGTCAACAAATTGTACTATTTTAGAATATTTCAATTAATTGATGATACAAATTTCATCTTAACACACCTTATTTAAAAATTTTAAAATATTCAACATAATGTTTTGAAACGTCTAACATAAACCTTTTCAAATGAAACTTCGATTTAAAAATATTTTCGAACCCTCTGGACAAGTAAAATAGGATGTAATGGATAATTTACACAGCAGGTAGGACACTTAAACATCTAGTACTTAGATAGAGATATTATTTATTTTCTGGAGCTTTCAAGCCAGCAAGAGTGTTATTGTCCCTTTAAAACAAACGCAATTATCAATTTATTAAAACAACACTTTATTATTGGTCCGAGTCGTCTTTCTGTTGGGTCCGAATAGTCTTTTTGTATGGTCCGGGTAGTCTATTTGTTTGGGCTGAGTGGTCTATCAGTTGGTCCGACTGGTCTTGAACCGAGTGGTCTTTGGTCCGAGTGGTCATGGATTCTTGTCGTAATTGTACTTGAATTTCCTATGCTGTCACCCCTAATACGAAATGATATCTTCCGCAGAGTGACGTAACCATCTTCCATATTGGTATTTTTCTCTGGGAAAAGTTTGTGATATTTCAATTTTTCAAGAGAGAACTTGTTTTCATCGTTGTGATAATTAGTTGTGCAATGGATTTTATCGAACGGGAGTTCATTACAAACACACAGGTAAGTTTATAATAACCAAAGTTAAGTAGTTTGTTCATAATCGAAGAAATCCGTTTAAAATTTACCAAGACTCAGACAGTAAGTGGCAATTGATGATAAATGTATTAAGAAAAATTCATATAACGATATTAATATAAAATAGATATTGAAATATATCCATTATAAAACGAAACATAGATTTTATAGCCAAGTCGTCTTGGTTATGCTCAAAACCCCCAACCGAACATAAATTATATCACGTGCTTTAATTTAGTATTAGTTTGAATACAATAAGGTAGTATCTAGGCTCTATCTAGCTGTATTATTTTAGGCCATATAACAACTGTAATGTACAAATTATAACAAATACACACACCACTTTAGACTACAATAAAACCTTTCCTAATCCTACTACCTGACTTTTTTTAAATAGCATATCAAAATTTATATATGCACAAACGAAATGTGAAAAAACGTATAAAGATATTATAGGTATAAAGATAGATAATAGATAAATAAATATAAACCATACTATACATTATACAAGCGTGCAGCTGTAGAGGCAATAAATCATATACCTGTGGTTCATGATTTTGATTTTGTGATGAAGGAGTACGGGCATTAGTTCTAGAAGTCTGGTCTGAAACAAATGCCACATAATGTTTGAAATATATTGTTTCTCTCATTACCTACTAAATCTATATCCGGAATGTATCTACTCCACTATGTATTAGAAATTAAAACATGTACCAATAACTCTTCCTTGGCGTTTGCACTCCTCTTCAAAAATACAAATTTTGTCCTGAATTCGGTTCAGAAAAAAATCATACACTGAGGTTTTTTTCAACTGTAATTAATTATAGTTAGCCTATTACCATTGTGCACAAATTGATTTCTGGAATCATAAAATCTAATTAGTTTTTGAAAATTTGAAAATGAAAATAACACCCCAAAAAAACCCCAACAAAAATATACATTTAAAATACTAATTACGTAAGTTAATCATTTTCTTTTTGTACCTTTATATTTTTATAAAGAAAAAGGAATCTATAATATCACCAATCTAATCATTTACATATCATATAAAACTCTGTTTTGAGGTATTCGCAGGTTATTGAAAATAGAATTTTTATTAGAACGTTATTCGAATATATCAACATTAGATAACGTGTAAAATTTGAGATAGTTTCTCCAAGTTACAAATGAAATGTAGACTGTCTAACTTTCATTTTACTATTGCACAAATTTTAGCAGGTTTCAAAGAGTTTAAAAACAATCGTTGCAAATACAGAACCCGGAGCAGGTCAGAACTGGTAATTAGATACGTTTAACGTTATTTTAGTTGGATTTTGTTTTAAAGATGGGTTCCCTGAAAAGTATTTATCGGGTGGTTATTTCCAATAAAAGTATGGTAATTTTGGTATATATGGAAAGAAGAGATATCCAATCTTACTAGAAAAATACTGGATTCCCCGAAAAACACTCATGGAGCGTATGCAGGACAAAAATTTTAGGGTTCCCCTAATCAACAGCTCGACGATTAGGAATTTCTGCACGCGTGATGTCAAAGGTCACACGCGAACATTGAGCGCTTGATGTACAAGTTGATAAACTTTATGAAGAGTTAGACGTACAACACTTTCTGAGATAAAAATGACGGAAAAAGACGCGGGTAGTGGATAATCCGAGAATTTAATTAGGATTCGATATTTGTAATAAATAGTAAGCGATTAAAGAAAACATCGTCTTATGTATGCAATGAATTCTCCTCTGACTTCCAAGAGAGGTAGGAGGTAAGTCACGTAACGTAAACATGACCTTGTTTGATCGAGTTTTTATAGCAGGACATTCCTTCGCAATTACAATGTTTGAGAAGGATTTGAAGCAAAGTTATGACAAATTAATTAATTTGAATATGTTTTTAGCCCAAAAAACCATTAAATCAACCAGTTTGTACGCGGGAACCCATCTTTAATGATGTCATGAGCGACTTTTATGTTTGGAGACTAGCAAAATTATACGAATGCATTTTTAGAACTATTTTTCAGTACGTTTTGTGTAACCAAACGAATGTTTTGTATGTAATCCTTAGAAAACTATCGAAGCAGTCGTTATAATATAAAAAATAGAATAGCTCTGTTCATATATTATAAAAAAGTCAAATTGGGCAAAAAACGTAAACTTAATAAATTTTAGAACGTGATAACTTAATCACAATGTGTTGTTTATATGAGGTAATATAAGTTATAACGTTTGACGTGAGTAATACGGTCCCGGTAATTCAGATAAATACACATTATTATTGTTGTTTCCATTGTACTACAATCTGTAGTGTAAATCCTTCGGTCTGTTAATCAATCGATATTCCTTTACACAAAACTAATTAAATTTATTTAGATGGCCTAGTATACGTTCTCGCATATTTTAGCTTTTACCAGTGGCTGTCAGGCAGGATACGCCCACATTTTCGAGAGATGGATAGAGAACAAGCTAAAAAGAAAGTGATTTTTCGTACAATCAGGGGCCATACTTCAGGAAATTACAATTCGATATGCGCAAATATCGAAAGGAACCAAGATCTTTGTGTTATAAACTTACATTTTCAAGTTTCAACAAAATTGGATAAAAATTGTGACCTCCATAGGATCCACAACCTTGATATACCATATTTTTTACGCTATTTGAGAACACAGGGCGGCCTTTTTGTCTGTCAGTTTTGTGCCGATTTTCACGAAATTAGAACTCAGCCGTCCTTAGGGTTTAACGGTGATATATTAATACGTTTTTTTAAATCGGATAAAAATTATGACCTCTATAGGGTCCACAAGCTAAAAACGCGATTTTTCGTACGATCAGGGGCCATAATTCAGTAAGTTACGTTCCGATATGCGCGAATATCGAAAGGAACCGAGATCTTTGGGTTATAATCATACATTTCAAGTTTAAACTAAATCGGATAAAAATTATGACCTCTACAGTGTTCACAAGCTAAAAAGGTGATTTTTCGTACAATCAGGGGCCATAATCCATGAAGTTACAGTCCGATACATGCCAATATCAAAAGGAACCGATATCTCAGGGTGATAAAACCTATATTTCAAGTCTCATTGAAATCGGATAAAAATTGTGACCTGTAGACTGTTCACACACAATTGTGGACGGACGTCCGGACGGACGGACAGACAGGGGCGACGACAATATACATCCACATGAAAATGTGGGCGTATAACAATGATACATTTAGTGATTGCAGATTTAGGAACTCGCTACAATAAACTATATCCAGGAACCCGGGTGTCTTTAAACAAAAAATCAATTAGTTAAACAATGTAAGAAGTTAAAATAACTCAATTATGACAACATCTATAAATTATTCAAATAAAATACCTGTGCCGTTTCCATACTGTTGTATGTTGCATAACCCTTTAAACAGAATAGTGCATGTACATTGAAAATGAATTTGGAGTCAAATTTGAAGAAACAAATAAACAAATATGGTATAACAGAATTGAATGTCTTTGGAACCAAATGCCATTAGTCCGATCAGAAAGAATAAGGTAAAACACAATTACCTGAGAATCTAGTTTTTAATATGTTTTAAAAAGTGTGGAGATAATATCAATACGTAAAGACTCGTTAGACAGCTAACTACATAGACAGGGGTGGCGTGGGAATAAAAGGTGAATAATAGGCAAATCAATACTACAAGAGAACGAACAAATGTACACGACGATATAAATGTTCGCCAAAGCAAGGGAACTCACAAGTAACGGCGATATAAATGTCATATTTCATTGCGCTTTCAGTTTTTTGCGTGTAGTATCGTTCGATCAGTATTAAGAGTGAATTTGAATTTGATTTACCTTAATAGAAAAGCCCTCAACCAAATGATGTGATTTTTTAAAAGACAGAAGAATCATTAATATCAAGTTTTGAAAAGGTAATAATAGAAAGTTTTACCTCGACTACTGGATTTTTCATCGATAACTTCACAACATGGTAATAATCTTCTCCATGAATTCAATGCATCTCGTTTAAATACACAATAAAATACAAAAATAAAGAGACCCTGGAGGGCGTTGAAGATAGCAAACAGATAGCTGAACACAGTCCGCAATGGTCCTATGGCAAATATGGCAAATATCCACGTAAGTCCTAGCAATATGACTACACCGACTGCTCCACGAAGTTTTGATAACTTGTCAGACCGGTCCGACTTGGTTAATTTCTTGGCTTGAAGACCACAAAGTTGCCTCAACACCAAAGCAAACGCTATAAAGTTAATCAACAAAACAAAAAGAACTGGACCAGCAAACGCGCCATAAAAAGCATACGGCGTTAGCCAACATCTGAAAAATAGAAGAACATGATTGTTGAGTAGAGGTAATTAACTCTGTCACTATCGTGTACATGATTGTGTCTTATTATATTGAACATCCAAAGCAATCTATTAAGACAGGGGGGGGGGCGAATGGTTAGCACGTGCGCGCTGTATCATAAGGTCTGTCATTGAGTCAACTGGCGTGGTTTCGATTCCTCGGTTGTACGTTACAAGGAGTAGGGTCGCCTGTCCAACCTCGTGGGTTTTCATCGGGTCCTCCGGTTTCCTCCCACTGCTAAAGACCCCTACGCGCAAGCAATTTATTGAAATAAAATTGAACCATATGTTAGTCCCGAAATGACCTAGTTTGTGTCGAGTGGACGTTAAACCGCATCTCTCTGTATGCAAGAAGACCGACACTGTCCCAAAGAGCGTAACGAATTTGAGTCATGTACCAAGAGATTTTAAAAATTATCGGGCATGACAATTTCTAATTTTCTAAGTTTGGTCTAATCAGTCCAATAAGAAGATAAACACCGACTGTTAAGAATTTAGGACTGTTATTGTCCATTTGATACCTCTTATATCATTAAAGGCCAAAACGCGTAGCCAAATAAAGTTTTCAGTTGTAGAATTTTACCACTGCAAAGAGATTCTAGTACCCAGAAAATATGCATTCGCATTGAGTCGCTCAGAAAATTTAGAGGACTGTTATATTCATTCGACGCCACTTTTCGCCCGGTCAGAAACCAAGACATTTTGGGCTACAGTATAGTATAATTGATACTTACACCCCACTATCTAGCTTGTTGTAATTATCAGTATTATTAATGCCCAGTGTTATAGCTACTATAACTAGCGGTATTCCTATAAATAAAATACAAAAAACAATCTGATTAAAATACAGATCTATATTTCGTTTCGTTTTTTTTATTTTTATATACTTTTATACATGAAGATCAATCTGTTTCACAGAGTATTACGAAAACCTTATATCTCTGTAAAAGACAACAAATGACGTCATATCACGCGGCGTCAATCATTGGCTCAATGGCGCGTGCATTGTTTACTTAAGACGTTACTGATTCGAGCAGAATGGCGCCTTTTACTCATTTTAATACCCATTTACACTAAAATAGGAAATCATTTTTACCTACAAATACTTCAAACGTCTTTATCTATTTTTCTAATACATAAAAAAACTGTTTTAGAATTTAATTTGTCGGAGGAAAAAAGTTAATATTTGTGGCTCATCAAGTCGCATCGATGTCATCCTTATCGGTGATTGTCGCGGCCTAGCGAATTCACTGCGGATCAGTGTGCATGAAGATCTGACAAGTGGGAGTTCATGTCAGGGGTCAGCGGCTTTTGACCCTATGACGTCAGACATGGATTAATCAATCAGCGTTGACGTTTCTAGTGGTTTACCCACAGTTCCGTGCATCAAAAGGCCAAGAATTCGCCGTAACAGACCGTTTCATTGGCTAACCTCTCACATCATCCAGAACACGTCAATGATAACAACTCTTCCAGATCCAAGTGTAGTAAAGACAAGTAAAGCGAAATTTTGAACTATAAAAACGAAACGAAATAGGATCTGTGTTTTAATCAGATTGTACAAAAAATAATGAGCTAGACATAATGTGTTGTTATTAATCAGCCTTTAACCACACCAATTGTATTAATATTAATTTAGAAATTCCGGTACCTCCAATAATGGTCATCTCTCCAGAACGTCAATTACTGTGAACAACCATTATGTTGGTAGCCAACGAATTTAAGAATTAGAGTTTTCAAACCTTGTATTTGATAAATGTGGAGGTTTGTAAGGTTCAGTAAGTTTGGAGATGGTCATATTATATAGTATGTTTAACTGCATGCAAAGACTGGGAGTGGTTGGATTTAAATAACGTAATATTGCAACTTTAAAATTTGTTTCGGTAGGAAATCAATGGATTAGAAGATCTCAGTTTAGATGACTTTAGATGCAATATATTGAAAGTCACTACTGTTTTTGTCAATTGTCTAGTTTCATTGTAAAGTTGGTATGTGTATTAACCTCTATCTAGTTTATGTAGAAGGCGCTTTATGGAATTTCAGAATATGTGGCGTTTATTCCTGTAAATTTATACGACCCATATGTGCTAGATAGTCTTAAATATCATGTAGCAGAAATTTTCAATATTTTGATTGTAAAATTGAATTAATGAATTTATAGATCATTGGTTTTAAAACTTACCCCAGCCAACTATACAGCATTTTAACATAAAATTAGAATAATATGTCTTAAAGACTAAAACTAGTGCTAGGTACATATAAAACGCTTCTACAGCCATCCAAGTTAAAGCTGCTAGCAGAAAATAATGTAAAAGTACAGCAACAGTCTGAAATATTTTAACAAGTATACACATTACAAAGGGACTAGAGCTTTGCAGGTCTTCAGTGGTGAAAAAGAGTACAATTAAACTCGACGTGATTTTACTATACTAAACTAGAGCTTTGCAGGTTTTCGCCACCTCGATAAAAATATCGACTATCGAGGGTATTCAAATAAGATTGCGGAGAACAAATCTGCCATTCCGTCTCCAATTGTTTTAGTGATTAACAAACCCTCGTTCAAAATACTTTCTTCTAATATTTCAGTACCGGTACTTAAACTTTACGTTAATTAGGCGAGTATATGCAGATTATTAAATACGAATTATATTTTCTTCATGGAAGTGAACATATTGTTTTAAGTTGTTTGTTCTGTTTAAGTTTCCCTGGTTTAATTAATGAACTATTGGTTTTGAATTAATCAGCTGTTTTGGTTGATTATGAAGACTACTTAAAGACAGTCTTAAATGCTTATTTTATTGAAGCTATTAATATCAGCAACATACCTTACAACCAACAGAATTATCCATGGCATAGCTATGCATACCAACTATAAATACCAAATCAGCAATTGCCAGCGCCAAACACAAATTTACCAAGATTTTAGATGGGTTGTCTTTCCTTAATTTTCTGCAAAGATAATTTGTAAACGTATTAAAAGATGAATAATATCTATAAAAAAACCTGTAAACAAAAAAATCATTATGAATTATTTAAGAATAAATAAGAATGTGTACATTTTATTCAAACCTTTGATATATATTTACCTTGTATATACATATATGCAACTTACTAACTATAAAACATAACCGTTAACTTTTATATTTCTTAAACTGTTATCACTGGATGCATAAGTGTATAGTTTCAATATATTTCTATAAATCCTCTGTTTGATCTTTTTGAATGTATATTTAATTATTCATAATATATCTGGTTTCAATTATGATATAATGTATATATATGGTTTCAATACATCTCGGTAATCCTCTGTTTCATCTTTTAATTGTTTAAAGAGCTCATCCTAGTATATACGATTATGTACCTATTCATATTTTTCTCATTTTCTTTTTTATTTATCGTGGGGGGGGGGGGGATAGCCGAATGGTTAGCACGTGCGCGCTGTATCATAAGGTCTGTCATTCAGTCAACTGGCGTGGTATCGAATCCCCGGTTGTACGTAACAAGGAGTAGGGTCGCCTGTCCAACCTCGTGGGTTTTCTCCGGGTCCTCCGGTTTCCTCCCACTGCTAAAGACCCTTACGCGCAAGCGAATTATTGAAGTAAAATTGAACCATATGTTAGTCCCGAAATGACCTAGTTTGTGTTGATTGGCCGAGACTTTGAAACACAATAACTCTCCTTCTAATTGAGCTAGAATGTTCAAACTTGGTGTAGGTGTTTATTAGGTCAATGCCTTGATGGAGTTCGAAGATGAGCATTTTCTGCTTAGGGTAAGCCGAGATAAGCAATTTGATTGGTTGATGCTTTTGGGCACGATAACATTAGTTCTAATTAATAAGTGAGAGTGATGAAACTTGGTGTATAGTTTCATTACATCAATGCCTTGACTAAGTTTGATAATGAACATTTTCTGCTGAGGGTAATCAGAGCGATAAGCAATTTGATTGGTCGAGACTTTGGAACACAATAACTCTCATTCTAATTGAGTTAGAATGTTCACACTTGGCATAGGCGTTCATTAGGTGAATGCCTTGATTTAGTTCTATGATGAACATTGTCTGCTTACGGTAAGCAGAAATAAGCAATCTGGTTGGTTGATGCTTTGAGGCACGATAACTTTGGTTATAATGAAGTGAGAGCGATGGAACTCCGAATATAGATTCATTATATCATTACCTTGACTAAGTTCGATGGTGAGAATTTTCTGCTTAGGCTAATGAGCGATAAGCAATTTGATTGCTAAAGACTTTGGAACATAACAACTCTGCTTTAAATTGAGGTAGAATGTTTAGACTTGATGTAGATGTTCATTAGGTGAATGTCTTGACTTAGTTCAATGATTAACATTTAGAGCTGAAGCTAAGCAGAGCTAATCAATTTCATCGGCCAATGCTTTGGGACAAGATATTCTTGATTCTATCTGATAGAGCGTGATGAAACTTAGTGTATAATTTGATTGCTTGATACTTTTGAAAGAAAAATAAATGTGCGATTAATTAATGTGTGTCATCTATTCATTTTGGGATTTCGGCGGGGGACATCAGCCTCACTGTTGGCTTGTCATAACTAATTTCTAATCTCAATTGTTTTGCAGAATTGCATGATCATCAAATTCTGTTGAGGGAAGATTTCATATCGGGTATTAATCTAGTTAGTACCAAGCTACATGTACTACGTGAGATTTTACTGATTTTTACCGATATTCTTGAATATAATTATAGTGTTTGACTCTTTTCTTATTTTTAATTACATTGTGATTTTGACGGCCTTACCGTTCTGACTCGCCGTAACCTCCAAACTAGCAAAGAAAAGGCTGAAGTAATGATCATGCAGTACAATAACAACTTAATTTAAACACAATGCAGGACAAAATTGATGTCAGAGTCAGAAATAAATAAAAGCATAGACTAGTAATTAAACTAAGAGTTATTTCAAGCAGACCGAATAACTACATGTGCATATTATATACTATATAAAGTAATTAATTTAACACCCTATATTGTTACATCAGTTAGAGAACACGCCATTATACGTGTAAATTAAAGTCTCTGGTCGGCATTTGCGGAATTATTATTTCCTTACAAAAATGGTTCAATTCTGTTTATTATTTAAAAAGATATGATGAATTGAAAATTTCTCAACATATGTTCAAAACAAGCCAGCACCACTTATAATCTTCGCTAAAATCCTTTGGTGAGCCTCTTTTTAAACCGGTAGATTATATACCGTTGATGTTTTACATTTGTATCTTTAATTTAATGTTAAATAATCAACTAGAGTATATTTTAGTGTGAATTAAATCGTGAAGAAAAATATATATTATCCAAAAAGTGCAAATGCCGATCAGCGACTTTAAGATATGTTTTTCCCAGTCCATCATTTAGCTCCAACTAATTGTTTTCGAAGAATAGCTAGCAAAAGAGAATATTATAGCTCATTCTAAATACAAATTTATAACAATTTCTTTTCCATTATTTTTCTAATTTTTATACTACTTTATATCATCACCACCTATTCCCTTTTAACAAAACAAGTAAAATTTATCGTTTTGTCATTATACACCTTTAGAGTATTAGTTATCATTCCATTCCCATAAACTAATGTAAGTGACATTCTACGTAAGATAATAAAACTAAGAAAATATGCAAACCTAAATGATTGACCGAAACTATCACTTTTTTGAAATTGTGTCGAATCAGTGGAAGGTGCTGGTCCACTAAAAGCAGCAAGGACAAAAATAGAAATTAAAACAGCTTTACAAGGGTAAAACAAGTAAAGAGAATTTTAATCAGATTAAAATCTAATTTAAGAATAATCTAGAAACAATATTGTTAATTATATGAACGTTCTAAATATTTGTGACGTGGAATCATATAATTTCCAATGAAATGTAAATGGCTTGAAGGGAAAACCCGTAAAAACATAGCGATAGAGAAAACGAAAAGGGATAAGTAGTCAACATTGGCATTGCTTGTGCTGGCATTGCTTGTGCCAGGTATATGAAAAACAAATAGCAACTCTGTATATGAGTGAAAAGCCACGTGTTGTGCAAGGCACTAGCTATTTTAAACATAAATATTTATAAACTATACATCGAAAGAAACTTCAAATAGAAGCAAATGCCAATATATTCTCTCTTAATGTAGAACTATTTTAAATGGAAACAGCATTTGGCGAATTTTTATTTTTCTGACCCTACAAATAACTAGGTAATTGATTCTTTCTGTGATTACTACATATCATTAATAGTAGGAAAAAAATATAACATGTTTTTATACTTACTTGAATAATAGATAAGTAAGTAGTGTTAAAATTAAGCATATAAATGATAAAGAACATCCAATATATGATATAATAGATAGTATTCTTTGATCTGTCTTGCTAATTGCGTGTCCATCTTGGTAAACATCCTGAAGCATATAAAAGAAACAATATGTAGAAGCCAGTTTTATATAAGAATCGTTATTTGGTACCCATTCTACTTGACTTATAAATGTAAATTATTCACATTTTCTTGAATAAACTATTGTTAAAACATACGAGCTTTCTAGGCATAATATAGGAGAAATATCCCTAATCAAATAATATGTTATAATCAACTTATGCGATTCTTACCATCAATAAAGCAAAGTTTGTGAGATGGTTACAAACACATGTAGTATAAGAACCCTGGACATTGTTTAATACAGAACACCCTTCTGATGACCATCGTTCTGGTCCCCCATTTCGACCATCATACCAAAATACACATTGTGGTCCTGAGGAATTCTGAAAATAGGAAAAACTGGTTGCCAGGTAATGAAACATACACCCACCCACTCCGCCAACAGCTTTGATATCAATGTCATACTCATTCATACATATACAATGCAAGGATAATAAAGATCCACCCTGAACTATCAATAAGATTTCGTAATCAAAAGACATAATTGATAATCTCTTCTTTTTACAACTATTATATAGGTAGAAAGTACTACAATATCATAAAGACCTATGAATATAATGTAGCCTCTAGAGTGTCAGAAAGCTTTCTGCCTCCTTTTCACTTTGAGAGACAATACTGAATACTAAAAGAAAATGGGATAGGTCTGTCTGAAACGCAATTAGGAACCCAAATTCGGGATTTGAAACATCGTTATAATATACGTGAAAGAACTGATAAAAAATGGCAAACAGATATAAACCTAATACGTTTCTATCATTGCTGAATCCAGTCAGCGACTTATAACAATTTTAACACTGAGTTTTAAACTGTTATTACTGAACGTATATGAAATAATAAGGATACAATGCCCATACCGGCGAGGAGTGAGAGAACGTCATTCTAACTGGATCTGTTAAATTGGTGATTGTAATATGAGGTATACTAGCTGCTATAACTCCACTGTTTACTTGTGTAACAAATAAATTCGTCTTATCACCGGTTGCTAAACTCGTTGGATTTCCTGCATTCTTATCGTTTTTCATACTCTAAAAACATAACAATTTAATATAATTTAGCTCGATATATACATATATATATATATATATAACTTTGTTGAAATAATTACACGATTAATGACATTTCATTCTGTATTTTTTAAAATGGAGTTCCTTGGTTATATCATGATGTGTTGTTATATTTATCTTTATATTTTTATATTTCTATGGCGCTTTCAACTTCGGTTGAATCCCAAATATACACCAAGATACATTTTGCCATTTAATTTTAGATGATTTTATTTTTTTGCTAAATATTGTTTATCTATAGTCTTTATTCACTACTGAAGCTTGATGTTAAACAAACCTTTTAAAAAAATAATTATATTATTAATCTATATATTTGCATTGTTAAAAGAAATCTTTATCGGAATTCCGTCTTATAGTATGCTGTCTTCGATAGACGTTTGATATGAAACTTAACCTTATCTTTTAATAAACTTCGTGGGCCATTGATTTCACATGATCAACCTGGTTTCCGACTTCTAAATAAAAACTATTGTACAAAAAACAGACTTCATAATTCAATGATACTTTTACCAATTTTACCACCAAGCATTTAAAGGTCGTCCTATTATAAAGACCTGTTCGCATTTTCTTCAGTATTTTCCCTTTTTATGTTTAAATAAATAAACTTTTTGAACTGAGAATGTGGGGACTGTTAAATAATATAGACAAAAGCCCCGGGCAACAAGAACCTATACTAGTCGCCGATATAGATTTTGTTGCACAGACGTTATTCGATATTATAAAATAAACAAAAATATTAATATGCATTCATTAAAATGTCCACAAAAAGATAAAAATGGACGTAGGGATATTGTATTTCTTTGAGAGATGAAAACATCATTTATTTACCGAAAAGAGTTTGCCAGTAGGAAATACGTTAAACGTAATTCTTTCTAATGATGTTTTTTCGGCTGTTGTTAATCTAGTAAACAATGTCTTGGGTAGTACAAATTTATTAACATGTGCATTCCCATCATCATCGTCGTCGATTACATCGGGACTATCTCTGGTATGTCGAGAATCATCATCAACCTCCTCTTCGGTTTTGTCATCATCTATTTCACTAGTATTAAATGGGTTGTCAGTTACTTCCCGTGTATTTAGCGGATCATCAGCCATTTCCTTGGTATATCGTGGATCATCGGACATTTCCATAGTATCTAATGTATCATTAGATATTTCTTTAGTGCTGGGTGAATCATCAGATAATTCCTTAGTGGTCATTGGATCTTCATCCAAATCTTCTTTTGTATTAAGTGAATCATCCTCCATTTCTTTAGTATTTCTTGGATCATCATTCATCTCTTGTGTGTTGTCTGTGTCGTCATTTTCCTCGAATGAACTTTCATCATCTCCATCGTTAAGCTGAAATTGAATTTTCAGTGGTTTGTAATTCCTGGTACATTAAATATTATAAGCTAGCTGTCTGCTCTCTATAATGTATACAAAATATTGAAAGTATGATATATATATATATCATACTTTCAATATTTTGTATACATTATGGAATATATATATTCTAATTAAAAACATCTATCCAGACAAGGAAATAAAATAACACAAATTTACAAGCTTCTATATGTTTCAAAGGACCGTGAGTACTATGTCACGTTGAATACTGAGTAGATCATACAAATAACAAATCGGCAAGCAGGTGACAAGTGACGGTGTCAAACGGTCAACTAACAGAGGTCAAAACGAAATTAGCAAAGATATGTAATAAAATAAATCTAGAACCAAGCGTAGAGCCATCGCAGCTAACAAAAGTCGAAAGCCATGAGAGTGGAATACTGACAAATTACAAACGGAGAAGGGCCGTATAACATTGTCGTTGTTTTACCGTACTTTTTGCTATTTTCAGACGCCGAAATGTTGTGCCGTAGCGTTTTTATGAATCTATGTGTATCCTAGAACACGAAGGTGTATATTTGATGTGATTTTAACCATGATAAAGACTGGAATTTAATCATTACTTTTGGTGAGCTTTTCGCGGAATTTTCATATTTTTCCTGTCTGTCTGCATGCTGGTTGATCTACGTGCTAAATTTAGGGAGATGGGGCCTTGCAAATCTGTAAGAGGGATATATACTTCCTGAAATGATCTATTAGTGAAACCAAAAATTGCTGTCGAGTCGAAGTCATGCTGTAATAGAACTAAGCTCAGCTCAGCTACCCATACGTACGCGGCGTGAAAATCTGCCAAAACTACATTGACCCAAGGTATCACGTGACGATACGGATACGTGATGTGGATGGGAAAAATTCCACTTTCCAAAAGTCTCTAGTTTGTCCCACGTATTGTGTGGAACAGACTGGGCAGGCTATAAAGTAGATGAGCCATGTTGAGTGTTTATCCAGTAGTAATGCTTTTGATATCGTTATCCGTATTCAGCATGGTGTATAATTGGCAAGGTTTCGTTTTCCCTTTAAGACACGGTCGGCAAGGCTCAATTGTGGCTTTATAGGTGGTATTTCTGGCGAGTATCCGTTGTAGATTGGTAGAATGAGAAAAACTGATGATCGGCGTGTTTGGAACGGCTTTCTTCATCTTGTCTGATAGGTGTAGAAGTGGTAGGTAGTGAGTGAGTATACCTTTAAGATCTGGAAGTCCTGGTTGGTACTCGACTATTAGATATATATTCTTGACCTTCGCCTTGGGGTCACTGTCCTCACTAGTTTGAGGTGGTTGCAGATAGTTGTCAAAGGCTTTACGAATTTGTGCCTCAGTTTTTTTTAGACTGTAGCCACGCTGTACTTTATAGGAACTCCGCTAGTTCTTTACAGCGTAAACGGGCAACATCCAGTTCTGAGCAAATTCTGATAATTCAAATAGCCTGACTATATAGGCTATACTCCGCTTGATATGATGCGGGTGACAACTATTGTTCAAGAGGTACTGGTGCGTGTCGGTAGGCTTGGTATATAGATCAGTAGAAATGTTACCTTTATCATCAACAGAGATCGAAACATCGAGGAAATTCACCTTCTTTTTCGAGTATTCAAAAGTGAACTTGATAGAAGGATGGAGAGTGTTAATAAAGTTCAAGAATTCAACGAGTTTCGATTCACCGGCAGTCCTAACTGAAAAGATATCGTCAATAAATCTAAGCCATACGTCGGGCGTGTAATAACATTATGACAGTGTACCGATTGCAGCCCCTGCTTTCTGTAAGTAGTACTCCGAATTACATTCGAACACATTCTGAGTGAGAACTAGTTCCGCCATCTTGCATATTCCATTGACTGTCTCTGCGGGAAAGTGGTGCTCTGTGAGGACAGTCTTCAATGCTCGCAGAACATCTGCATGTGGAATGCTGGGATACAACGCTATGACGTCAATCGTAACCAAAAACGTATCCGGAGGTAAAGGACCCAGACGACGGATCTTGTCAATGAAATCAACAGAGTCGCGGATGTATGAAGGTAAAGAGGGTATGTACGGTTGAATAAAATAGTCCACTATTTCTGACAACCCTTGCGTGGGCGAACCACTGCCGGAAATCACCGTTCGACCAGGCACTCTTAGAATAATAGATTTCCATAGTCTTCCTGGTATAATCTGACAATAGAACAATACATAAGTCAAGAGATTAATTAAATGTCAATAGATCAATTATGTAATTTGACTGTAATTGTCAAAGTATACCAGGAAGACTGTAAATTAATGTCATGTTATGTATTATATACTTTTAACCTTTTGCTGTAAGTTACCTAATATTATTTATAATATCTATTATTCTAAGAATGTATATATTTATATATAATATATGGGTATCGTATTTGCAATATTTTGTATACTTGGCTGTGATTTAGCCCCGAAAATCGTTTCATCTCGTCCCAGCAAATTCCAGGTGAAAATCTGACGCTTTGTGGCATAAGTAAACTATTAGGCCGTCACTGTCGTAAACATTTCTTTTCCGATGCATTGCACAATACGTCTAGCACTCGAATTACGAGTCGAACTATATTTGTCAAGTGTCAAAAAATCAAATTCTAAGCCAATCAGAAACCATAAAAGCAAACAATGTCATAGAGTCACGGGTCGATAGCCATAAATAGACCAGGGAATGGAACACGTTAGCTTGTTGACATTTGTCAGAGAGGATTTTTCTGCAAATATGCCGGGATTACTGGATAATACCACCAGTTAAATGTTGCATTGACACGGTGAAGACGACTAACCCCTGACCTGTGGCATAATTATGGTCAATAGGGAAATAGCACCAATGATTGAATGAATCTGTTATTTTCTGGAAACAAGTATTTTTTCAAAACTATTTCAATGAAACAACATCCAAGAGAAATATATATATAATACAGGTGAAAACGATTTTGGCCTGATTGAAATACTGGTTCGGTATTATAATTATATATAATATTAAGAAAAAACATGTGATCTGAACGATACAATTAATAATATTTCACCTTCATCAATTTTATACTATTTTTTAAAAAGAAAACAATAGACTTATTATAAGAGAGTATAGAGAAAAATGGGATTTAATGTCCACTCGACACAAACTAGGTCATTTTGGACTATCGCAAGGTTCAATTTTATTTCAATAATTCGCTGGCGCGTAGTGGTCTTTAGCAGTGGAAGGAAACCGGAGGACACAGAGAAAACCCACGAGGTTGGACAGGCGACCCTTCTCCTTGTCACGTACAACCGGGGAATCTAAACCACACCAGTGGACTCAGGCCCGTAGCCAGAGGGGACAGGGGGGAGGCTATGCCCCCCCCCCCCCACTGAAAAAATGCTTTTACCCACCCACCCCCGAAAAAAAATTTGCCGACCATAGCTGTAAAATACCTACTGTAGACTGTGCCGGGTGTGCCCTCCCCCCCCCCCCCCTAAAAACTTCACTGCCCCTCCGAAGCTAGCAAGCTGGATACGGGCCTGAGTGGACTCAATGACTGACCTTATGATACAGCATGCACATGCTAACCATTCGGCTACTCAACCCCCCTATAAGGTATGTACATGTACATTTATTTAAAGAAAGAAACAAATAAATGTATATAATAAGCCCCGTTTACACTTGGCCGCGATAAGCGTGCCGTTCTGGGCACGGTACCAGGCCGCGATAAATTTCAAGAAATTGACCCGTTTACATTACTCTAAAATAACCGGTCACAGAACCGTGCCAAGCACGCTAAACGTGGAACTCTTCACAGAAAAGTTAATTTCAGTCCCTATACAAATTATCCAGATGAAAACAATTATGATGGTCGATTTAGTTTGAGCAGCCATTTTGACAGAACTTATGGCCACAGATCACTAAACATTTGCCCATTGACTTTAATGTTAATTCTCGTCTCTTAGACCGGTTCTAACTTTTTCCCAAATTTTCGTTGGGTAGAACGCTTTCTACCACAGATGGAGCAACATGTGGCAACCTCTTGCCCAAAAGCACGTATGGGGTTCACCATGAAAAACTTGAGATACACAAGCTGGAAGTAGAGACAAGAAAACATGCAATTTTGGACCCTACATTTCAACCTAACCAACCTCTCAACTCTTGTATCCTTCCGCCTCAAAATCATGAATATTCACCAAAACCTGGTAGAAAATGTATTTTCAAACCCTTTTCTTCGATTCTACACCAAAAAGTAAAAAAAAATCGCCATGCAAAAGGGGGAAAAAGGGAAAGGGAGAGAAAGACTAAAAATAACTTTCGCCCTACATTCGTGGGTGACGGCGTAGAAATATTTGGTGAGCTGTGTCACGGGGAAACAGGTCAAGGTTCATTTGGCGCATGCGCAGTAATCCGTGCTCAAGCCGGTTAGCGTTTACACTACGAAAATTTAAAGCGAGCCGGTCCTGGTACCGTTCCGAGACCACCTCACTTCAGTGGGCCAGGCGCGGCACGCTTACGTTTGACCCGTTTACACTACAAAAAAGCGAAGCGTACCGTACCTGGTACGCTTAAAATTTGTAATGTAAACGGGGTTTAATACGCTGTTCGGGTGGTTATATTCACAGAATACATGTATTTACACACAGATAAGGTCTTGTGCCCATATACACTGTACAAAATTAAAAGATATATACCAGTAAATAAAAGTACACATAAGAGAAAAACAAACAGTTATCTAAATAAAATGGTTCCAGTAAAATGAATTAGAAATGAAATGGGGTTTAACGTCTCTGCTCCTATACATGTAGGCTACTGGGCTAATGAAGACGGGCACACGCCATAGAGTGTGCTATGAGGGAAATTTTGCCCGGGCACAGCACTATGGCCTACACTTATATCGAATTCCAACTGCCAAGGGATCTTTTAAGTGCACGCCAATGTATACACGAGACCTCCGTTTTTCGTCACATTCCGAACGACTAGACAGCTGTCATTGTACCTTGTCAGCCCCTCCGTCTGCACCACTGACAAGGGGAAACCACGTCAGAAATGAATTAGAAAAAAAAGTAAAATAAAGACACATAGTAAACATAAAGTGACAAAATATAATATGAAAATTTATTGACACGTACAGTACATTGAAGTAAAACATGTTTAAAATATGTAATATTTAAAAACCGCTTACAAAAAATACATGTATACAGGTGTAGGCCTACCATAATGAAATGTCGCTTAGTATTAAACTTAGTAAGTGTATCTATAAAAATTGTACCTTGTGTTAATATGTTCAATTACTAAATGTCACTCAAAGAAAATATTAGATTAAACAGTTTTAGTTAGATCATTTAAGTTTTTAAGTTATAATTTGGTAATGGAATCTCATTCAAACAGATTATAGCATTGTATCATATTGAAACGACCTGCACTGATCCAATCATACAAGTTTTGACAATGACCACCAAGATTTGGGTGGGGTAATACCCACTGACCTGATCAAGATATATACAAGGCTGTAACGCCCGCGTACATTATAAGGCGTTGTCACAGACAACCAGAATCTAGAGAGTATTGATCCTATGTAATCCTCTAATCTCTTTTAACGAGAAAGGTATTATAGAGGGCATTTTACCCCGATCTTTTAATGAGAAAGGTATAGAGGGCATTTTAGAAGGCATTTTACCCCTATAGAAAGGTATTATAGAGGGCGTTTTACCCCGATAGAAAGATATAATAGAGAGCATTTTACCCCATCGATAGGTATAATAGAGGGCATCGAAAGTGGCTTTAACAAAAGGCATCGTAATTCATCAGAATTCAATAAACATTCTCCTGGGCCCTGTTTCTCGTAATCGTAACTTAAGATAAATTCCAAATTTTAGTAGATACTTCATTTTTGATTGGCTAAGCACTAAAATCAATCTAATATTATCCAATCAAATTACTAAAATTTGGATTTTATCTTAGTTAAAATTTCCTGAAACAGGTCCCTGGTCTTTTTACACTCGTTACACTGCATCGGAGTTTTCCAGATATCCTAATCCCATCTTCCGATTTAAAAAAAAGCTGTTAGTATTCTAAAAATGACCGACTTAACATATCTATGGGTTATTAGGCATTATAATACCTACGCGATATTAATCTACATCTTGAGATATTGGTTTAATTTAGTTTTATTTAACAGTAGGTGAAACCTAGAAAAAAAACCTGTGTGGATTAGGCAGAATTTATTACTCCTTACTTGTTAAAGATGGGTTCCTGCGTAAAAACTGGGTGATTTAATGGTATATATGGACTAAAAACATATTCAAACTAATTAATTTGTCATAACTTTGCTTGAAATCCTCCTCAAACATTGTAATTGCGAAGGAATGTCCTGCTATACAAATAAATCTGCCTATTGCAGGTCTTTCTTCAGGCCTTAAATGTTATATAAACTATTAATTAAAAATTTATTAACATGACAAGATTTTAGAGGCTAGAGAAAGGGTTGGGGGTAGAATAGTAACATTTAGGAAAGAAAATTATGTGGCAGATTTAGGTGCAATGGTTGTCACTGGTTTAGGTGAGAATTTTTTATTTTTCAATTCTTTTATCCGAATATTTAAATTATGAATCGATTGTCAGAATGTTTGTTAGAGTAACTATTAACATTAGGTTAAGTGTTACTTTGCTCTTATTTTTTGAAAAAAATTTCACAAGTTGATTTTCTTTATTTTGTTAATGTAGAATGGTAATGAACTGCTCTTTTCATTTTCTTTGTTTTATTTGTTTCGTTTGAATTTGATTTATCTGTTTAGTTTTGATTGTTTAATTTTTGTTAATGAAGTTGATTCTTTTAAACTTCGTTTTTATTTTTGAACTCTACTTGGTGTAGGTGTTCATCAGGTAATACCTCGACTGAGTTCAATATAGAGAGCCGGTTGATTTGTTGGATATAAACCTTTGAATAATAGCGCCTAACAGGCAGCTGTGTTTAATTATGTTCTCCTGATTTTGATTGTTTCTGTGTGTTTGAAGTATATGTTTGTGATATGCGCTTAGAAACACTTCACGTGTAATGAAGCGCTATATAAATCGAACAATAATAATAATAATAATAATAAATCACATAATTTCATCAATATCATCCTCACAATTGATGATTTAGGAATAGGGGAATATCTTCATCGGCTTGCATTTGCAAGAAAATGGAAAAGGGTTAAGATATGATCCCCTTAATCTTAAGAAATTAACCAGACCTATTTTTCTTTTTCTTTTGCTGGTAAAATTTTAGCTGCTTGTTTCTAAACATCACTTTCTTCAACAGTTTTGGAATCAATATCTTTCATAATCATAAACAGGTTATTTTTCTTTACGCTGGTAACGTGGAATGTGAGAAGTCTGTTAGTAATAGTAGATCTATACCCCATTGTCATTGAGACGAGAGTCTTGTCTGCACATTCCTGGAGTTCTTTGTCAAACAAATCAGCATTTGTCTCCGGCATAAGCCTGCCACACAGAGTAAAAAATGAATCTGTGCCTGCCACTTCCATCTAATTTGATCCACTGGTTAGCGCATACCTTAAATTTTTCCCAGTTTGTCGCAGTGAACGGTTTTAGATCAGTGTTTTTAACAAAATCTACACGAAGTATGCAGTTTTAGCTTTCCTTCTGCCATATTACTATCAAAACGTAAACAGCGGTGACCTTTCACTCTACTACACGACCTGTTGAACCTTTCGTCGTGTGTTCTGATTGGCGAGCTATGTCACGTGATGTGTTAAAACCAAATCACCGCAAAATTCAAATACCATCGCACATTGATAAGTAAGCCCGTATTTATTTTGCGTTTTCTGTCAAACGTCAAAGAATGGATAACAGAAAAGTTGTGTGGCAATACAAATAATACTAGAAGAATTAAATGATTTACTTTTTTTCACCTGAAACTTGCTAGCACAGAAAAACAGAAGCAAGCTAGCTAGAAATTTCACACGGCCGATACATTATATCTAAAGACGGCCATAGAAGGCAGACAGCTAGCTTATACGATTTAATGTATGTCAGAATGAAGTAAAGTGGAGACATTTTTTACCTGAACGTATTTTTTTATTTATTTATGCATTTATCTACCGGAAACAAATAAGTGCTCGTACTTTATCTACTTTAATATATGAACTAAATAAAGCTGCTCTCAGTATATAATATTTAAAAAAAACCACAATTATTAACTAACGTCCATAGTTATAAATTGTTTATCCATCTATAAATGATAAACCCCACTGTTCTCTTTAGGCCGTCCATTTTTATTTTTTATCAGGCAGGCCCATAACTGCCTTTAATTCAAATAATGTAATTTAGAAAATTGAATTCCTAAAATACTCATTCTAATCTCATTCTTATTTTTGATGACCACTGTCATATACCGTAACATTTTCTGCTAATCACAAGAGTTCGGGTATCAACATTGAAATATAATAATACCAATAATATACACAATAATTTACTAAGCAACAAAAACTAGAGTCTCTTTATTATTAATTAAATACAATACAAATCATACATACTGGTTTAATATGATGTTATTATACCTAATTAAATGTATACAACCTAAATATTGGTTAAAGACACAAACGATAGGTATTTGAAATATTAGCTGAAAGCTTTGTTTTCGGGAAACTCACCGTAAAAACAGACAACCTTTGACCCTTCGCCTGTGATCTAGTTGACAAAGAGAGACCATTAAAATAACCCTCAGCAACGGGCACAGCAGCCAGCACAAGATTAGGTTCTATTATAGTAATATTACCATTTGATAATGAGATTTTGTTACTAATTTTCTCCACAGAATCTAGAATCCTTAAAAAAGTAATCGATAACAGGAGGATCAAAAGAGAGTATAATTACATATTTTATTAAAGATAGGTTACAGGCAACGAAACATACGCCCACAGCAGCTAAATCGTCCGAGCGGCCGGCAAGGGTTGTCGCATATTTATTCCTTTGTAGGTAATTGGGGGCCTTTACAAGACAGTTCCATACTGATCAGATTATATATTTTGTTGTTTGAGGGTACACAGGGTTTTACAAACGGAAACAAAGGTCTCAACTTTGGAAGTAGTTTACAGAAATTGTTGAAATTTGACAGGCTTTTTTCGTTTTACTAATTTAAAAAATGCACATAAATTTCATACAGATCGGATGATCACTTTTGTCATTCAAACATTCACAGGGTTAAGGGTTCACAAAGTAAAACAAGGGCCACAACTCTAGAAATAATTGACGGAAATTGCTGAAATTCAATAGACCTCTATTTCACAAATTTTAATGATGCATATAAATTTCATACATATTGGATGATAATTTTCATCAATAGAGCATTAACAAGGTTGAACAAAGTGAAACAAGGGTCATAACTCTAGATGTAATTATTGTAAATTGTTGAAATTCAATAGGTTTCGTGGTTTCACTATTTTAAATAATGTATATAAATTTCAGAAAGATCGAATGATAACTTTTGACGTTAGAGCGTTCACAAGGTTCAATAAAGTGAAACAAGGGCCATAACTCTAGACGTAATAAACGGAAATTGCTGAAATTCAATAGGCTTTTTCGTTTCACTAATTTAAATAATGCATATAAATTTCAGAAAGATTGGTTGATAACTTTTGGCGTTAGAGCGTTCACAAGGTCCAACAAAGTGATATAAGGGCCATAACTCTAGACGTAATAAACGGAAATTATTGAAAATAAATACGCTTTTTCATCTCACCAATGTGAACAACATATATCAATTAAAACAATCGGACGGTCCGACGACAATATACGTCCACATTTCCATGTGGGCGCATAAAAAGTAATTAATGCTGTTTACTTTGAAATGAACGGAATAGTAACACGCTTTGCGTCAATACAATACTTCCTTCATTTGAGACTAACACACGGATAAATATTTCTATGGTCACGGGTCCAATGCTAGAGTTCTTTATCGAATTCAAGGGGTCTGTACATGTGTCGAAGTGGCGTTTTAGTCAGCTACACATGCACTAGCCCTAAGTGACACCCAAGTTTTCCTTTAAAACGATTTTTTCTCTTCCAAACTGATCGGTGCCCCTTAAATGCTAGCTTATATAGCAAAGATTAATGAACGGACAACGCTTGTTACCATTGCTTTAGTTATATGACAAAATTTTACATTTAATCAAAACAAAACCTCACATGCAACCACCTTAAAAATAAAACAAAATATAACAGGAATGGTAATCTAAGTAATCTAACCTTGTTGAAGTATCAAATTCGTCTTGTGCCTCCAGTAGCACTGCACTGGGTATAAAGAGGAGTTGGCTAACCACGGCCACCGTATCATTCATAATGCCACGATTAGAATATGACGACTCCTCCTTTAATATGTTAGTCAGTACACCAACCGCCAGAGATAGCTGCTTTTTATTAAAATTCCGGGTATCCTTAGTCAGAGTCTTCAGATTATCTAACGCCTGTCGAACATTGCCTGAAAATAAATTTGTAAAACATATGTTGCCAGGCAACCAATATACCTCCGCCGGGGGTGTTTGTGTTTGAATGATCGATGTTATAATATGAATTTCTTTTTTTTTTTTAATTCACCCTGATACATTATACTCAGTCGGTAAAACACCCCAAATGTCCGGACCACATTAACAAAAAAAAAAAAAAAATGTTACTGTTTAGATAAAGATTGGGGGTCGGATGGCCGAATGGTTAGCACGTGCGAGTCCGCGCTGTATCATAAGGTTTGTCATTGAGTCAACTGGCGTGGTTTCGATTCCCGGCTTTGTACATGAGTAGGGTCGCCTGTCCAACCTCGTGAGTTTTCTCCGGGTCCTCCGGTTTCCTCCCACTGCTGAAGACCCCTACGCGCAAGCGAATTATTGAAATAAAATTAAATCATATGTTAGTCCTGAAATTACCTAGTTTATGTCGAATGGACGTTAAACTCTCTCTCTCTCTCTCTCTCCCTCCCCCTCCCCCCCAACACACACACACATAAAGATTGAAATTCGGTGAAAATCCATTAAGCTTTTTACTCAATTAAATAGGATCATTTGGACCCAGTCATTGATTTACCTGCGTTAATATTAATCTTTAACAAATTATTTAATTTATTGTTGACTGTAGAATTAATAAGACAGTCTGTAATCAAGGGCTCCATCCATATTGGTTTACCAGAAGCATTTAGGTGACTAGAAATACAACAATATAATATTGTTAATCAAAATATAAACATAAGATTCTAAACATAAACATTGTAGATTGGCAAACTTTTATGTAACGTCAATCTCCAATTAGATTTTTATGCTACATGTAGTAATATCAAATTACTTTTGTATATTGTGAATAGTAATCTATAATTACATAAAGTAATCTACAATTACATTAAGTAATCTACAATTACATTAAGTAATCTACAATAACATATGTTTACTATAATATCAAATTACATTTGTATATGTAGCTTACCAATTACATAGAGTACTCTCAAATTACAGATGTTTATTATATAATATCATATTGCATTTATGTACTATATGTCATATACAAATTAATTGTGGATTACTTTTACGGCAGAAAGAAGCAAAAATGTAAACATTATTACAAAAGAGAAAGTAAAAATTTACCATTGTCGTGAAACTGAAATAAGCTGGTTATTAGGACAGTTGATATATGTAGTATAACCTACATCTGTCTGTGGCCAGGTAAATATACCTACTGATGTCTTTATAATCTCTTCAAAACATGCCGCTTGAATATGAAAATAACCAGTTAGTAATTACATTGTCATATTGAAACTCATGAACTATACACTAATTACGACTAATGTCTTAATACATATAGAAACAATAGACTTCACCATAATTGTCCTTACTAATATAAATGAAAGCATTAAAATCAACACTCTTCACTAATTTGAGTTCCGTTTGAAATCTATTCTTATCAATACTTTTCGATAATGGTAAATCTAACTAGGTTTATCTTAAATTAACTATTTAATTTCATTGAACATAATATTTACCTATTTTATAATAATTAAGTAGAATAGTTGAAGGTACGACTCCCATCTCTGATAATGCACCTTCTAACGAATTCCTGCGTAAAGTTTCGTTTATCTGTGCCAACACGCTGTCTTCGGTGCGTGTGTTCAGGTTTGTGGAATAAATAGTCGCCCATACTGTTATCATTGGTTGGCTATAAAAACAACATACTATAAATTAATAACATAGTTACTTCACCCTGTCTAGTGCGTTTTACAGGATTGTCTTCATTATCCCATAACCGCCCCCCCCCACCTCATCCCGACAGAAATCGATACGCGAGTCGGAATTAAGATAGGGTTCCTCGAACAATCATAATAAGCAGGAGATCCAGATGCAAATAAGATAGTTATATTTTATATTACAATGTCGTGTCCTCTATAGAAATATCATTTACAAATTGTTATTTTATACAAAACATAACTGGTAAATAAAAGATAATAATATAATGTACATCAATTGATTTTAATACCTGAATCGTTGAATATCTACAGTATAGCCTCCAGCTATTTCATTTAATGCACCTGTTAACTAAACATAAACATTATTTATAGTACATTTATATAAATACATTGTTGGAATTAGTTTCATCTTTTGTATTCTTTCTGTCCCCGCTAGCCCGATTTGTTGGAGAAAAGGGGTACGTTCAACCCATTGTATTTCATTTCTGTTTTATTTCGACTATCACGAATGAATTTACATTTAGGCAGATTACTAGTAAGCGGAAGTGGGTCTGCTTACGGATTTTAGTTTCGTTTTCGACATGCATTGTCTACTGCTGAGTAACGTAGCTAAATCAAACTAAAAACTGATCTCTGTGACAGTTCGCAAACTTCACGTAACTATTTTAACAGGAGTAACAATATTCAATTGAAAAAGGTTTTATGATGAAATTTTGTATGGTTAAATAAATATTCCACATAGTCCGGTGGCTGAAGGGGGGGGGGGGAATCGCCACCCGAGCTGTGAATTTATGAGACCAAGTTTTTCTAGACCAGTACTTTTGCGTAGATTCCGAATCTAGGTGGTGGTCAGGCGTTTGAGGGGCGTTTTCGAATTATGGGGTGTCCAATGTCTACAATTGGGGGAAAATGTTATTATGTTGATATAAATGATAATCATGTTATATATTAATAAAACATAAATTTCTAGGACTGCCCATCTCTAGAGAAGTGTATATGATGCCCCTGGACAACTGTTTTGATTTGTGGGGAGGTGGGGTTGGGGTAACAGGTGTGTGTGTATGGAGGGGGGGGGGGGGTAAATTGGTGGGAAATCAGTTCACATAGATTTAAATGATGATTTTCCTAGAGCTTGGTAAAAACATTACTTTTTAATTATGTGGGCAAGATTCCCATTGTATGGGGCGGGGGGGGGGGGGAACAAAATGTAATTTTAGGGACAGAAACCATTCAGTTCAAAATTGACCTGAAAAGTGTCTTCTCTATGCTTTTTCGTTCAATCTGATTAAAACACAGACATGCTATTTCGTTTCGTTTTATATAGTTCAAAATTTCGTTTTACTTGTCTTCACAACACTGGGATCAGGAAGAGTTGTTATCTAACAGGTGGTCTAGTTGATGTGAGGAATTAGCCAATGAAAAGAACTCGCCGTACTTTGCACGGAACTGTGGGTAAACCCCTAGAAACGTCAACGCTGATTGATTAATCAATGTCTGACGTCATAGGGTAAAAAACCGCTCGTTTTACTTGTCTTCACAACACTGGGATCAGGAAGAGTTGTTATCTAACAGGTGGTCGAGTTGATGTGAGGAATTAGCCAATGAAAAGATCTCGCCGTACTCCGCACGGAACTGTGGGTAAACCCCTAGAAACGTCAACGCTGATTGATTAATCAATGTCTGACGTCATAGGGTCAAAAAACCGCTCGTATGACCCTGACGTGACCTCCCAGTACAACTGGTCAGATCTTCATGTAGTGTAGGCCAAAGTATAAAAAAACGAAATGAAATATACATCTGTATTTTAATCATATTGCTTTTTCGTTCAGTACCAATTTCGTCATTCCAAATAATATATTAAATTATAATGGTACTTTTCAAGAGATCTGGAAATGTACATAAAAAACACAGTAAATCAGAGTCATGTTTAGATATTAGTTTATTCTTAGTCTTCATCAGAAGATTCAAAATCAAAGTTCATAATATGAGTGGGATAAATATCTTCAGATACCCATTCACATTGTAAATCTTCATTCCAGCCTTGTATCGCAGGGTCATCCTGTTCGATCACTGGTGTACATAATTTTTCACCAGAATTGCAGCAAATGACTACGCAGGCAAGATGGTAATAAAGAAAGAAAGGTTTGTTATTTTTCATCACAATTGAAATTCTCCCAGAAAATCTTTTTTCCAGTTTCGCCGTACATGGCACAAACATTTTTTTCTAAACCAGTAATTATGTCATCAGAAACATCATTTGTCTGTCCCGGCTCTTTAAAAATTCTCGACACTTTCAATACTAATCTTGATTGGATCAAAAAATGTATCAAGATTAGTATGAAAGTGTCGAGAATATCCTAGAGCTGACAAAAACCACGAGGACACCAAAATAGCTTACCTACTCCTCTACGCATTGCAAATAAATGGAAGCGCTGAAACAAATTGTATTTTGCTCGGGCGAAATAGAAATCCCAAAATTTCACGGAAGGCGACTTACATCAGTAGATGACGCTAGAAGAAAGATTTTCTGGGTGAAAAAATAACGGACCTTTCGTTATTACCACCTTGCCGTAGTGGTCTTTTGCTGCATGGCTGTGGGGATCACGTGGCTAAGTGGGTAAGACGCTAGCTCGCTAGCCTGGAGGTCGGGTGTTCGATCCCTGCATTGGCCGAGAAAGTTCATCCAGATTTTCCGGCGTGGTTCTCCCTTGTCAGTGATGCAGGACGGAGGGGCTGACAAGGAAAGCTGTCTAGTCGTTCGGATGGACGAAAAACCGAGGTCCCGTGTACACATTGGCGTGCACGTAAAAGATCCCTTGGCAGTTGGAATTCGATATAAGAGTAGGCCGTAGTGCCGCTGTCTGGGCAAAATTTCCCTCATAGCACACTGTATGGCGTATGCCCGTCTTCATTAGCCCAGGTTAGGAGCAAAACAGTAGGACGTTAAACCCCATTTCATTTCATTTCATTTCCGCTGCATGGCTGGAATGAAGATTTGCAATGTCAATTGGTATCTGAAGCATATCCAAAGGATATATACGAGCTGTTGATCAGAAACCAAAAAGATATTTTTCCCGCTCATATTATGAACTTTGATTTTGAATCTTCTGATGAAGACTAAGAATAGACGAATATCTAAACATTTAATCTGATTTACTTTGTTCTTTTATGTACATTTCCAGATCTCTTGAAAAGTACCACCATAATTTAATATAATGAATGATGCAATGATGTAATGAACGAAAAAGCTAACGAGAAAACACTTTTAAGGTAAATTTTGAACCAAATGATTTCTGTCCACAAAAACACATGTTACTCCCACCCACATCCCCCCACCAAATGATTTCTGTCCACAAAAACAAATGTTACCCCCACCCTCATCCCCCCACCCCCAAGGGCACCCATCCCGGCGCCCACTCCACACAATGGGAATATTATAAACATATATTTAGAGATGTTCCATCAAGTTCTAAAGAAAATCACTTAAATCGACGTGAACTCATTTCCCGCCAATTTTACCCCCCCCCCCCAACACACACACACCTGCAACCACCCACCCCACCTCGCCACAAATCAAAACAGTTGTCCAGGGGCATCATAAACACTTATTTAGAGATGGGCAGTCCTAGAAATTTGTGTTTTATTAATAATTATATAACATGATCATCATTTATGTCAACATAATGACATTTTCCCCCAATTGTAGACATTGGACCCCCCATATCTCGAAAACACCCCCTCAAACGCCTGATCACCACCCAGATTCGGAATCAACGCAAAAAACTGGTATAGAAAAACTTGGTCTCATAAATTCACAGCTCGGGTGGCGATTTCCCCCCTTCAGCCACCGGACTAACACGTTTTTTAGAGAATAATTATTTTGTTCAGAGAATAAAGAAATTTTTCAGAGAATTTGTGATCCACTTCCAAGAAACCAGGCGCTTGTCGCACAACTTCATTTTGTACTACGGGCACAAAAGCATAAACTGTATGCCTTCTGGTTGCTGTGAATGAGCCGAACTCAACTCCAGATGGTTTAACGCGTGCGCGTGATATCACAAGATCTGTCATTGATTCCCGTGGCGTGGTTTCGATTCCCGGCATAAACAAGGGAGCAGGGTCGCATGTCGAACCTTGTGGGTTTCGCCTGGTACCCCAGTTTCTTCCCACTGCTAAAGACCCCTACGTGCAAGAGAGGGAGAGTGAAATGGGGTTTAACGTTCACTCGACACAAACTAGGTCATTTCGGGACAAACATATGGTTTAATTTTATTTCAATAATTCGCTTGCGCATAGGGGTCTTTAGCAGTGGGAGGAAGCCGGAGGACCCGGAGAAAACCCATGAGGTTGGACAGGCGACCCTACTCCTTGTCACGTACAACCGGGGATTCGAAACCACGCCAGCTGACTCAATGACACTTCTACTTTGAATGAACGACTGTAAATAAGTTATGATTGCAAATTATTTGTCATTTCTTTGACATCATCCAAGTCTCAAATTAATTAAATCAATTTAAACTGATAATTTATGTTTGATAATAAGTTTCTCCTTTTGAACATATCGTGCATAAGTTCATATTAATGCGTGATAAACATTATACTTACTCCAGTGGTAAGACTTCTTTGTTCATTTAGATACGCTTCCGAATAAACAGTGTCAAGGTCCTGGTTATAAGAACGATCTAACGATAATTTCAGAGAAAATTTTAATTCTTTCGTTCGACCTGGAAATCAAAAATATAGTAAAAAAAAAGATAGTTACATATTACTGTGTTAAATCATTTTAATTTACAATCTGTATATTTAGTCCATTCATCTTTCGGTTTTCGTTGTCAATCTATTAAAACCGACTGTCACTTGAAAGCATGATTTAAGAATAACAATTTACGGTTATAATCAACTGTTGCAACATTCTCGTATAGTTCTTGTCACGTTCCTGTTCACAATGTTCATGAAGGCCACAGGGCTTCCATTAAAAATTGTAGCCTCTATTGCGTTCACAAGCAAGTTGTTGACAAACCGCCGGTACGACATCATACACCTCACTGAAATGTGCAGGCTCTCGCTTGGTTCCCTGATATAAGCAAGGTGACAGCTTGAAATTGATTATATCCGATTTTGCTTATACCAGAGCAAAGTCTAAATTACTTATTTTATGGGTTTTCTTGGTAAATAAAGTGAAACTTTCATAGTATGGAAGATTATATAGACCTATACTTCACCAGAGGCATAGACTTTGAAGGCATCATTGCAAAATTCGCAAAGCTCAAATCTAGAAAAAAAAGCTATATAATTCCGTGTAATGTCACGTCACCTATGCAATGTAAACTAATGCAATATATGCAGTGTGTAATATATATACATGTCACTATTATTTCTTTTGATATTTTGTATTTGGATGGATGGATGCCTGTGTAATCCGGCACCATGAAATACTTTGACCTAGGGCCCCACAAAATCTTAATCCGGCCCTGGAAATGTGGGCGTATACAAATGAAAATTCGAGGTATAAATTATGCCATGGTTTTAAACTATTCAGTAAAGAAATTTGATATAAAAAAAACTAACCTCCCATATCGCCAGCATTACACTCTTCGCCTATACAACAAAAATTACATAATCTATCTGGCTTATTATATAGACCACAACCTCTGACATTTGCCCTTTCTTGATTTAAACAGCTCTGATACCACATACAACCTTTATTAATAGCAAATTTGCCATCAGTACTTGTTATTCGACTACTGCAAACCATCTGAAGTTAAATTACGGTAACATAACATGACATGACAAGACATAAGAAAAATTAAGGAAACCATAGACAAACAACAATATGATTTGAAAAACATAAACTATCCCCTGTTCGGCTCCACAATCCACAGTCTAGATGTAAACGATAATATTTTTAATCAAGTCCATTTAAGTTTATTGATATGTCAAACAGATTTTAATCTCGATCAATTAGTATTTTATTTTTAATTCTATGTATACCTTTGGGCTGTTTTTCCAATGATGTTAGTTTTCTCTATTAGGGCCGTTTTGTTATAGTATCATAACGCGTAGGCCTATGTATGTATGTCTATGTATGACTATAACCTATAATAGATACTATACATTTTCATACATTATTATAGGTCAAACTAGGTCATTTCAGAAGGCGACTGGTTTTTAGCCGTCGAAGGAAAATGAAGAACCTAATCCTTGTCACGCAAATGTGTGGGATCGAAAGATTACATTTGCATTGATGACAGGCCTTGTGAACTAAAGCGCACGAATATTAGGGATAACAAAAAGGCACATGTTATATCTTGTTTGTAACAGGAGCTTGATCTGCAAACTACAAATATATACAATGGTAAAAATTAGAAATCCAGCTGCTATAAAGTTAATAGTAGCATTTTTCATAAATTTCGGAGATATAGAAGAAGAAACTTTATTGCATAAAAAAAACCTTACAAGGTTATGTGCATATACATATAAAATAATAGAAATATACATGAAACAAACAAAGGATACATACATGGACATAATTATACAAAGATACACAACTTTACAAAGACATGTACGAATTTTATACAAAAGCTCCTAAACATTTTAAAATTTCTATATTTCTATTCATCATCAGTATTTTAAATTGTTGTAAATCATTCAGTTTATAAAAATTTGGTTCGCGAACTAGAATTAATCTGAACAGTTCTTTTCTTTTTTCGTCATGTCTTTTACAATTTGTTATCAATAGAGATGCGGTGTGGGTAATGTTGACGGGGCTATCTACCTCGCTAAAATATATATAATATGAAAATCATCCTATTATTATGGTTTGATATTATGTTTATCTTTATTATATATACAAAATTTACACACAAAAAAATATAAAAAGTACAAAAGACCAATAATCAGTATTCTTTGATTCGAATCATGATTGGTCGTACTCTTTTAGCTCTATAAATAGTGGCCCCAACATTACAATAAATGATTGACATACTAATCACTAAACAGGTAAATCCCAACATCACGAACAAACTAAATAGTATAAATGTTGTCGTACTCTGATACTCATCACAATAGTCACATATATGCGTCTTAAATTTTCTATGTTCTACTTCCTTCAGGATTGTCCTCGCGCCAAAGAAATACAGCAATGGCGAGCATATTACCATGCCATGGACCACATTGATAATCAGCAGGTTTTTGAATGCCTTAAATATAAACCCCAAAAGGTGCGGATAACATATAGCCCGGTAGAGATCGAAGGCGATGGCAAAAAGTATACCCCTGGAAACGCCTAAACTCGCGTGGTTGAAAATATTTTACAAGTAGTAATCCACACCTGATTGTATTGGTGAGTTAATTTATAGACTATTTATGGGCGAATAGTTAAATGTCTGCTATTGCGAGCCCAAGCATACTGACGGTAGATGGCGTGCCATTATTTTTAGTTGTGTAGACCGCTATAACCAAACTGTTTCCAATCAAACCCGTCACAAACAAAATAACCATTAAAAGTATAACTGGCTACATGACTATTGTTTGTTCGTAATTCAATGTTAGACATTGTTAGTTTATGTTTATTCACAAGTAGCAAACACGTTTAAGATCTGTAAGCACGTGGATTAAATTGGGTATCATCTGGCAACTGCAACTGTTTATTTCAACCTATGAAGGACAAAAATAAAAGTATTCAGTCAAACACACATCAATAAGCTACATTCTTTTAAAAAATATATCGCTACATTCTTTTAAAAAATATATCACATATCAAGCTAATATGACGGCAAAAGGTTTGCTAGCTTAAATTACAAAACCCCAAACCAGTGTTACTGCTCTGACAAATGATAGGCAAGAATCAAAATGACTTCATAAACATTATAATAACATGCATTCAAAAATCAGTTATTTATACTAATACATGTATTTGTGATCGTATCTTGTCTGCCTGTTTGTTCAGGATTGGCGGCTACACTAGGGCTGTCCCGAGGCTGAAATTTGGTGTATTAGGGTAGCTCGGACCGTTGGAGTAAGATAGGCTAGGTGGCGTTGACCAACTGCTTCCGGTTTCGGAGTTACGGACACAACCCGGGCAGTACCAGGTTATCCGCTAGTATTACATATAACTACATCTTTTATTATAATATATCTTATATTATCAGTACAATATGCGTATTACATCTACAATTTACTACCGATCAATGTGTATTCCAAATGTTATATAGAATCTGCCTTACCTAAGGTGAAATTAAACTTGTCAGCTATCCACAATTTTGTCAAATTTATTTAAACACACATGACGTATTGAGTATGAATATGTATAACATATCACAAAATGTATATTACAGGCCGCTAAATGTATATTACACATAAAGTAATTAACTGACAAAATATACAAAGCAGCAAAAGAAACGTCAGGTTGGTAGGTTACTCTGAATAGACGCATTGCATAAAAATTGTCAAATGTTTTTATTGTATATTTGTGACCACAACTCCAACTTTACCTGAGCAATACGGGTTCTTCCCAAACACAAAATCGAACCTAGGAAATGTTCTCAAAAACGCAACCTGACATCTGAGAAAGTAATGTGTTCTCCATTATTTTCATGCAACTCATGTCCAGCCATATAAAATGCACCCCCATACCTGGTTGAATCATTCACACTACAACGTCAGCAGCATGTCACGACTCACGACAGCTCAGAGGAACCAAGCGCTTGGAAAACTCGACGCTAGCCACACTGCCCAAGCCGTTGCCAATGACTTCCCGGTCAATGTTCGGACCATCTACAGGCTTCAGCAAGGCTTTTGGGCCACCAACACCACGGATGATCGCCCCTGAACTGGTAGACCAAGGGTTACCACAAGGCGACAATACCGCCATGTTGTGCGACAGCACGTGCAGAATCCCTTCACACAGACAGCACGTCAGACAGTGGGAACACACGGAAGACCCATCAGTACCGATACAGTGCGCCGACGTCTCACCAGAGAGAACATGCATTGCCGTAGACCTTACCGTGGACCGATCCTCACCCCTCGCCATCGGCGTGAACGTCTACAGTTTGCCCAACAACACCAGAACTGGCGACACAGGCAATGGTGAACTGTTCTGTTCACAGATGAGAGTCGGTATTGCAGATGACAGGACCAGAATATGGCGTCGACGTGGCCAGCGTTATTCTGACCGATGTGTCATGGAACGAGACTCATTGGGGAGGTCCAAGCATAATAGTTTGGGGTGGAATCTGCCTGAATCAGAGAGTGGGTCCTGTGGTGTTCCAAAATCTTGGTTCAGGGAAAGGAGGCGGCATGACAGCAGTGCGCTACATCGATCAAGCGCTCAGACCCCACGTCATACCACATTTCGCACGTCATCGAAACAACGTTTTCCAGCATGACAACGCCCGTGCCCACACCGCCAGAGTTACTCGGGACTTTCTACAGTAGAACGGTGTCAACGTTATGCACTGGCCAGCCCTTAGTCCGGACTTAAACCCGGTTGAACATCCTTGGGGTGAAATTAAGAGAGACTTAATAACGCCGTACCGAGACCAAACACAGCCGATGGATTGCGCCAGGCTTTTCTGAGAGTGTGGTTCCAGGTGCCAATGGCGTTCATCAATCGTCTGGTCCACTCTATGTGCAGACGCTGCGCTGCTGTTATTGACACTCGCGGTAGAAACATCAGATACTCATGTATAGACTGTGTACAGACTCTAAACCTTCTCGTAAAGTCTTGGAATTGTGATGAATTAATCAATAATGTATCAACATAATGTTTACAAAAAATTGCTTTGATCCATTTAGTAACTCGTTTTCTAGAATGACTTGATTTAAGTGCCTCTCTGATTTTGAAATCGTACTAATCCCCCATATGTTCGACGATGCAAAGTCGCAGATACGTAGGTCGACAATGCAAAGTGCATAATGCAACGTGTAAAAAGTAAAGTCGCTAATTCAAAGTTGGTTCATTCTTTAGAATGTAAGAGCTCAACAAATGTACTTTGTATTTTAAAAAGTATACTTTGCATTTTTACGCTAGGACATTAGTATTTTGAAACATTGAAAAATGTATTTTGAAACGTTGTCTATCTTCAGACTTTTGGCAACGTTATACTTCCATACCATAATGTATCTTTAAATATTAAATAATCAATCTGAGCAGATATTAGTGTGAATTGTTACTTTAAATATATCGAGGTCGTGATGTGTAGGATAAAGAACGAGACTGAGGTTATGCTGAGGAAAGAAAGACTGAAGAAACGAGGGTTTTTCTGAAGTCTTTCTTCCCCAGCATAACGGAAGTCGAGGACTTTATCTTGCTTATAAACCGTCTATGTTTACATGTACGTAAAATGAGAATATCCCAGAATTCCCATAAGAAAAACATTACATCATGTTTTCTTACGGGAAAAACCCTACCCTGGAAGAATAACCTGTTACAGGTTTAAAGAAAAACTTTCAGAAGAATAACCCCAAATTCCCCTGTATATATCCAAAGCTGCCCCCGACTTTCAGACCTCAAGTTATTCCGGGCATAGAATATACCCCAAAGATCAAAGAGATTTACCGTTACAGGTTTACAAGATAGTAGAATACTAAGGGTAAGTATTGTGACAGTAGTACGCGAAACCCCATTTCATTTGTAAGCATTGTGATAAAATGAACATGCTGGCATAATTATCAATACATTTCGAGATTTTATCGAGCGTCACGTACATACCATGCGCATGCACAAATTCGACAGGGGCCTGCTTTTGACCAAATTAGGTGATAAAAAGGGCATATAATCACGCAGATCAGCAGGAAATGTAAAGTGTACTCATTCGGATGAGAACGGGTAAATTTCAGTTAGCCTTTTTTGCTCGATTTGCGATTAGACAGCTAGGGAAAGTTGGATTAACACAACTGGTGTTTTAAACTAGCTTACTTGCCCGATTTACGATTAAACGGCTAAGTTAAGCTATAGATTAACATAACTGGTGTTTTAAGTTGTATAGTTTGACTTACAATTGTCTGAACCATACACTGGCACTAACAACTCAGGTGTTAATAATATTACATTCAACAAGAAAATACATATTTTCACACCAATTATAGAAAATCCAAACACGACCTACTTTTATTTAACTGGGTTGATCTACTGCAACATCACATTAATACCTACACGAGTCGTAGGCCCTATATTTCAACTACACCTGTTATATTCGTGTAATGGATCGGTAAACTACCCTCAAACTGCGCACAACGCCAACATTTGTTTTTACTGCCGGTCGACGTAAATTTGAAAATTATTGTCCCTTCTCCCAAAAGTAAATAAAAATACTTCCAAATTCGTCTTGTTCACCCAGTTATGGCAAGAAAATGAGAAATTATTACAGTATTAACTCTCAATGATAAATAAGACGTGAATATACTAGAAGAATAATTCAGCTTTATATTCGAATGTGTATTATCATAATAACTGCTCAAAAACATACACGAGTTTTATTAGTGCGGTGGCTGAAGGGGGCGGGGCGGGGATGGCCACCTGAGCTTTGAATTTATAAGTCTAAGTTTTTCTAGACCAGCTTAAGAGGGCTCTTTCTAGATGGGGGGGGGGGGGCAATGTCTCTACACTTGGGGTGAAATGTGATTACGTTGAAATAAAAAATGATGATCATGTTATATATTAATAAAACATAAATTTCTAGGACTGTCCATCTCTAAAGATAGACCTTGTAATTTTACACGCACGCGTTATACCACTAGACCATCAATAGAAATGTATATTATCAAAGAACCGTATAGTGCAGCTACGGTTTTATCGTTTGGTAGAGTCTTTTGACAGCCCACCGCTAGCGTCCTCTGTCGACATAATATTCAGGTTAGATAATTTGGAGAAATGATTTTTGACAATGATTTTGCAAAATTGGTATTTGGAGATATGTATTTCGAAATGTAAATGTATTTATCATCATATTAAAATACAATTTTAAATCAAACAAAGATACAATTTAGAAATCTAATATGACAAATGTCTGATTTGTAAAACAAATATTGATTTTAAGATACAAATATTGATTTTAAGATACAAATATTGATTCCAGTATAAAAATGTCGAAATACGACAACAAATGAAGAAATAAGTATTATGGATTACATGTATTAAGAACTGTTTGGTCTTCCATACGAAGCGTTCGTAAAGCTACAATCACAAAGTTTAAAGTAGGTAAGTCTCTAACTCAATATCATCCAAAATCTTCAACATTGAAAACACGATTCATTTGTCAAATTAAATCAACATTCATGTTGTGATCTTACCGGAAAAAGATGGGCTTTTGATATCCAATATTTAAGACAAAATAAACATTTTACCATTGGTACACGAATCGTGTACCATAATGCGCTTCAGCCCAAGTTGTATCAAGAGACTCGAGGGAAGAGGCTAGACACATTGCACCAAATCAAACGGCATATGTAGACTGGAATAACCAGACGCTAGAAATTTGCACTCGCTTGAGACTGCTGGCTTATTTCGCCGAACATAACTGATTTGAAATTGGATTAAAAACGGAAACCACTGAATGTAAATCAGTTTATATACATTCATATTACAGTATTATATGCGTTGAGACCCACTTTTGTCAATTTCTAGGTCCCAAATGTTAGCGATTTAGCTCCTTTAACATGTTTGATTTCGTGTATGTATAGCTGTGTAACAAAAATTCAACATACTGTTCGATTTACGTGTACGAGTCTCACGTTTGCTTTGCCAAATGCCACCCCGATCCGTTAACTCTAATTCGGATTAACTTATGTATTTCTTAAAGTAAAAGTTGCTTCTTGTAATCAATTCTTGTAAATCAATTAGTTTGCATTTTATAATTTTAAAATATGATTTTCCCTAGCGAGCCACAAATAATTCATAAAATGAGAAAGATACATACCTTTTATCTGACGTTTCTGTATCTGTATCTGTAGTTAGGACCGTTCTCATCTTCAGTAACATTCATAAATGTTCGAATCACGTGAGAGAAAATCATATATATTAACACCCGTCAGTTCAGTGCTATATAACTATGCTGAGATCGCCTGTCTTCTATTAATTAAACCAGATCGCGAACAAGTGAACTGTTAATGAATTACCATTTTTTTTTCTGTTTTGCTAATGTCAAAAATATTAGTTCAATCATATAAGTGGTATGTACTGATGTATCTGATTAAATAAGGGAATAATACGACTAACAAATCACACCGTTCAGGATGATTGAGTGATAAGTTCGCCCGGAGCCTATTTTTGCGCTAAAGGTCTACCCTTTTGGAAAACGGGTTGCAAATGAATCTTTGTACCTACTTATTTTCACTTACTTTTCTTATCACCTAGACGAGGAGTCAGGGTCAATGTCGGATCTTCATGTAGTGCAGGCCATCGAAAGTATAAAAAACGAAACGAAATATAGATCTGTATTTTAATCAGATTGATCTTGGCCAACAACGGGATCGAGCCAGGGACGTTCTGGTTAGTGAGCCGTCTTCATTAGCCCAGGTTAGGAGCAGAACAGTAGGACGTTAAAACTCCATTTCATTTCATTTCATTTGGTTAGTGAGTCAGCGCCTTACCCACTTGGCCAGAGTGGCTCCCACGTGTTAACGGTGTTTTATTTTCTTCGTGGTTTTCATATGGAAAATATTAATACAGAATCCATGACTACTAATATCAGCCATACCTACTGCCAGATCATTGATTAGGGTGCATTTCTGTACATTTAATTTAGGGTTTGGTGTAGGAGGGCGGGGGGGGGGGGTATTCTTAGAACCAATCCAGCCCAATTTTAGCGCTTTGTTTTTAAAAGTGATTCGAGTAACTCTTATTACCCAGTGTGAAGAAATAGGCGGACATTGAAAGACCCCACACACCAAATAATGATTGGTCTATATATATATATATATATATATATATATATATATATATATATATATAATTATGTAAAAGTTCTGATATTTAATAGAATACTCCGAATAAACCAGTAGTATTTACGGGAATACTCCCAATAAACCAGTAATATTTAATAGAATACTCCTAATAAACCAGTCATACTCAAAGGAATACTCCCACTAAACCACGGTAATATTTAATAGAATACTCCCAATAAACCAGCCATACTCAATAGACTACTCCCAATAAACCAGTCACATTTAATATCCTTCACGAAGGTTCTATGGCAACTGTTTGAGATGCTGATATATTTATAGATGTCTGCTTACCTCGTTGCCCCGACAAGTTTTAATTTGTCCCGTTAATCTACACTGTTGGTGGTTGACAGCATCATTACAGGTATAACACGACGCATTATCAGGTATAACGGCTTCTTCTGTAGAAATTATAACATATATTTTATATCACATACAGCCCACGTTTAATAAAAAAAAATATACATTTACAATCAATATAATAAGTTTACAGTTAAAATTAGTAAAATAGTTCTAGAAGACCATGGTAGTAAATTCGAGTGATGGGAGAAGGAAACTAAAATAATTCAAGTCCGGTTCCCATATGCGAGCAAGATACTAAAATTATGCCAAGTCTCGTGGATGGTACGGAAGCCAAATAACCGCTATCCACATGGCGTACACGTGGAGGGACAACTGAAAAGTGCGGTTGAAATTCAAAACGCCGATTTAATACATGTTTATAAAATCATCATTTTAAAGACAGATCCTTTGGTCGAATTTCTACTTACAGTAAGTTACACAGTTACACAGACTACTTAAGATTAACGAAAGTTATACTTACGTGAATTGCATGGAGGGAATTGATTATTCGGTGTGTTTACAATTTGTAAACCATCTCTAGTATTATTACAAATAGCCCCGTTCAAATAAAGTTTACCAGGATTTGTTATCATCCATGTCTTTAAAGCTTTTGTATCACAATCACAATGAATTTGATTTTCATTTAATTCTCTGTAACGGTAGAACAAAATAATATTATTGCCATGCTAAACTTTAAACTTCGATTATAAGTTAATCTACTTTTTTTTTGACATTTGGCACCATAACATATAAATATGATGTAATATTATACGTCGAGTATTATAGAATTGTTATTAGATAATACGTTCAGTATAGAATTGTTAAGATATACGTTCAGTATTATAGAATAAGATATTATACTTACACTGTAACAGGCCCTTCAGTGTTTAACGGCAGAGTTATAAAAGCATGGCGGGAAATACTTGTAATACGATTTCTCCGTAAATTTCTAAAATGAATATCATATTTATTCATTATGACATTGTTATCACCAAAATATGCTTTTGAGTCTGCTCTGTTAACGCAGATAGCAATCACTTACATTTTGTTGGTTTGAAGGACCTTCGTTTTTATCTGTTTTATAGATGACTTGCTTGTACCTAGTAGTTAAACGCCTTCCGAATTGTGTTCTATGTATTGTATTTTAAGAATTGTAATTAAACATTAATAAGCAATTCGTGCTATAACAAATAAATGAAGAAGAAAAAAAGGAAGAAACAAATAACAAAATAACGTACATATTATTTAGGTTTGGAAGATGCTGGAACATATCAGCTGGTATTGAAGTCAGTTTATTTTTGTTTAAAACTCTGAAACGATGAAATAACAAACATAAACAATGTCACAATTGTTTCAATCTGATCAAAATACAGATCTATATTTCGTTTCGTTTTTTTATACTTTCGATGGCCTACACTACATGGAGATCTGACAAGTTATAGCGATAGGTCACGTCAGGGGTCAAAAGACCGACTTATGAATGACCCTTTGATGTCAGACATTTGATTAACCAATCAGCATTGATGTTACTAGTGGATTACCCACAGTTCCGTGCAAAACACGCCTAAAGCTCGCCGTAACAGACCATTTCATTGGCTTATCCCTGACACCATTCAGGACAATTATTTCGACTTGTCGTGCGGCGACTTGTCGCCTCGGAAGTTAATCTGTGCGCATGCAAGTTATCCAATCAGCAAATGCGCAAGCTCGAGTTTGACTTCCGAGGCGACAAGTCGCCGCACGACAAGTCGAAATAATTGTATTTCGTCAACTTGTCGACTTGTCGGGTTGTGAATAAGTCGAAGGCGACAAGTCGACAAGTCGGCAAAATCAACCCGCCGACACCACGAAATAACCCGACGATCGTCACCTTCATTTCGTCGACTTGTCGGGTCAATTCTGTCGACTTGTCGCCTTCTTCACAAGGCGACGATTTAGATTCATTTGAATGGCCGCTAACAGCCACCATAGTGTTTTAACCAGATTGCAATTATTTTAAAATCTGTAATTTTGTACGTTCATAATATTATTTCAGCGAAAAATAACAATTTAATTAAATTAAAGATACATTAGATAAAGAGCTGACAGTTCGCACTATAATAGTTAGAAACTAAATAGTGTAGCCTCGATCATCATTACTATACATGTAAAGTCGGTACGATAAAAAACAGTCTCGATTATCCATTTCATGATTAAATCATGAATGAAAGTTGAGAAGCAAATGGGATCATAATTCAGTAAATATCACAGGCTAGCGATGACATTGAGAGTTGATTATGGTCTAGATAGTTAATTAATGTCTACTTAATAATTTAGATAACATTTAAAACCTAAAGAAAGACCTGCAATAGGCAGATTTAGCTCTTGCATAATGTAAGCTTAATTAATAATCCATTACACCAGGGAAGACCAACCTCAGATGCATGCGCCAAACATGGCGCATTGAATTGGATGATTTGAAGTGGCACATTGTATTCCTGTGATAATAATAGAGTAAGGCAGTAAGCGTGTTCGTTATTTTTAGCGAATTTATTAATTTCGCGAAAATCCTTTTTAGCGGATGTTACCTTCTTTCACATTAATCTGTTTTTTTATAAGTTTAAAATTTGCTTAGGAATCAATACGCGTTGGCGCATCTGAATTCTTGTGTGAACAAATTGGCGCATGGTATGTAAAAGTTTGACACATCTGCATCACACAAACACACTTACATTACAAGTGTGGTGTATACAAGAATAGTGTTATTATAAAACACAAGTGTGATGTGTTCAAGAATATATGATTTAAAGGGCCATTTTCTAAATTTGGTGACTTAGAGATATTCAACTGTTGAATCAGTGCCAATCAAAAATTTACAAGTATATCTCCTTAACCTGTAAAAATATTTTAAGAAGTGGAGCGACCTGGACAACGCTGTCAGACGCACGAGGTTAGACACGTGAATTATTCTGACGTAATTTGGATAAATATTTAAATGGATACAGTTTGGAAATGTATTCTATGATACTTACATTAATTTTAAATTAAACATATTTCTAAAGGCTTTCGGGTGTATACTCTCAATATTGTTATTCATTAAAAATCTGGAATAATAAAAATAACATGATAACTGATTGGGAGTGGGAATGGGAGTTGGGGAGAGGGGTCAAGGTGGCTCAGGCTCAATAATAAGGAGGTCCCAGGCATGGTGTTGGTCGAGAAATCTCCTTGGGATTTTCCTGAAATAAAATAAAATGGGGTTTAACGTCCTATTGTTCTGCCCCGACTTGGCTAATGAAGACGGGCATACGGGAAATTTTGCCCGGGCAGCGGCACATTGGCCTACTTTTATATCGAATTCCAACTGCCAAGGGATCTTTTACGTGCATGCAAATGTATACACGGGGCCTAGGAAAATCCCGACGAACTTTCTCAGCCAATGCTGGGATCGAACACGCGACCTTCGGACTAGCGAGCCACCGTGGCTCCTGGGATTTTCTTGTCTGGTTCCCATTTATCACTGGTCCAAAACGGAACACCTGGCAATGAAAGAGGGTCTAGACTGTTGGGTGGGACAACATGCCGAGGTCTTACGGTTTACGTAAAATATCCCTTGACAATTGAGTAGGCCGAAACACCACTGTCCGCTCAATATTTCCCCCAAGGCACTCTGCATACCGCATGGCTAGTTGTTTCAGAGAAGTAGGACGTTCAATCCTGTCATTTTCATTGGACTATTTTCTTGTGTACCTTTAATACGAGAGTGCTGATACGCATGGAAGGGAGATAAATCTATTTGCATTGCAAACGTTAACGTCAACTATTTCTTATAATTTGTTCAGATGAAATGAAATGGGGTTTAATGTCTTACTGTTCTGCTCCGACTGGGCTAATGAAGATGGGCAATGGTTTTTAATACCATCCGAACGACAATACGTTGTCCCTTGCCAGGCCCTCCGTCCTGCACCACTGACAATGAGGAACCGCACAGGAAAATCTCGATGAACTTTCTCGGCCAACACAGGGGTCGAACACGAGACCAAATGAATGGTATTGCAAAATGATTATTCTAACTAATTTTTTTTTTGTGTCATGTTTATCATAACTGTCCATTTTGTAGAAACCCTTCTCCATTATGTTCGGAAAATTGCAACAATCATTGGTTTTAAGACAATCCATCGTGATAGCGAATATTGGTGAAGCGCTTAGAAGTTACTTTTGGACAGAATATAGCGCTATATTCGTGTAGATGATAAGGGAGATAAATCGGCGTGGAATTGAATCAAAATTCCTGATTGTGTTCCAGAAAACACTTGGTAACATACTTACAATGTCTGTAATTTTTCTAAATTCAAAAATGCATCTTCTCTTATTTCTGTAATTGCATTAGAACTGAGATCTCTGAAAAAGGAATAATAATCAAAGATTATTAACTATCATTTTATCCAACAGCAGGCTCGGAATTCTAACGAACTGTAAGTTTTTTGGTGTGGATTTATCATTTTCTTACTTTGTATTTATGTATATATAAATATCCACCGCAAGAATATTAATGCCTTTTAATATAAATCGAAGGTAACCAAGAGTAACAAGATAAAACACCCATATAACAAATATGAAATCTGAAGTCCGGTAACATGAAACATGATCAGCTCTACTATTAAAGAAAATGCGGACATAAAAAGTGTGTATAAGTGTTTAATATGCAATAAACACGCAACGTATAATCATGAAGAAGGTGATGATAATATAAATTTAAATTTCTTGGTTACGTTTAGTTACCAACAAATCGGGTCGGTCAGACACATAGGTTATTGGTTTTAATGTAGTACGAAAGCAATTGACAATTCTCATCGGGTTTAGCCCAACTACAAGTGATTCAATGTAAATACATTTCATGTAGATATGCTGCACTTTTCCCACACTCGATACGAACCGGATGTGTTAAAAATGTGTGACATGCAAGCAATTAAATGTGGTAAGGCTAAAGTTTTGTTTTATTTCAACACATAAAATGACGACCCTGATAAGGGTATTTACAACTGTTTTAATATGTATTTGGTGTCTACATGTGCCCGAGATGATAGAGAACAATATCGTATGGTTGAGAATCCAAAATAATGGGGAATTGTAAAGCAAATGTATCAATCAGCACTGCCCAGCTATAAAGTAAACAATAAATCATAGGAAATAACAAAACTCCTAAAGAGCTGCATAAATATATAAAATGCAATCATCAAGCTCTGAAAACTGTTTTAGTACACATAAGTCAATATAACCAACCTATTTTTGGGTCAGAAACTGCAATCCCACAGAACTACTTATCGTGAACTTTTTCTAAGGGGCGATGCAGATCGAAAAAAAAGACCATGGCTCAGCCGATTTAAATGCGATCGACATGGAACTGGATTGGGCACGGTTGTTCTTTGGACAATTGTGTATCGACTGAGAGAAATGGGGTTTAATGTCCACTCGAGGTCATTTCGTTACTAACATGACGTACAATTGTATTTCAGTAATACGTTTGTGCGTAGGGATCTTTAGATGAGGGGGGCGGGGAGAAGGCGGAAATCCGGAAGAAGGTTGGACAGGCGACACTACTCCTTGTCACCTACAAGCTTGGGGACCTTATGATCTAAAGCATACTTGCCGTCCCCTCATTACATAGAAATTTCATTGCAATTAACTGGTGTTAAAGCAGTTGCTGAATTGATGACACATTGTTATCATTTTTTAAATTAGTTATATATATCTAATTTAAAAAATGATAACAATGTGTCCTCAATTCAGCAACTGCTTTAACACCAGTTAATTGCATACAGATAAATTTTAATGGTCAGTAGATAAATTTTATCAAGCCTTAAAAAATACTACCCTGGTTTGAAGTACATAGCCCAAAGTTGCGGAGGGCTGACATAGCACAAAAAAAGAAGGAAGATCGAAAATCTACAGTCTATGGTTACTTCAATCAGAATATCGGTTGAGAGATATTAGTCGCGATTTTCGGTGGATTGAAAAACGATCGACATTTAATAATTTAATTTAAAAATGGATAATCGAGACTTTGTTTATCATCGGAAAAATGCTACTTGACCATCGAGACTATATTGTGAACACTTCAAAGCGTGAAACGAGTAATTTGACCGAAATTGTCAATATATTCATTTTTCATTATCTACCAGCTCTTTATCTAAATCTTACATGATGCGTCTTTAAGGAATTTGGTGTCGAAAGACAACATTCTGTGTTGCCACTGGTTTGTAGCAAGACTAACACTTTATCATGACCTTAAAGAAGGAACATTTGACGGTAACAGATATAAGTTTGTTTTTGACATGAATGGAATATATAGTTATGTTGGACAAATTAATAACACATTTTGCGCAAAATCGCACGTTCCATTAATGAGATATGGGCGTCTGGAACAGAAATGGGCAACTCAATAGGCTTACATAAGATTTGTGAAACGATTATTTTGATTATTCTCTCGATGAAAACAGTATCGCCCATTTTAAGTTGAAATATCAAGAACGTTAATGTATATGCCACAGCTGATAATGATCTATGTAATATCAGTAATTCGACATCTTTTAACGTTTAAATTCTGTGCATTATTAGAGTTTAACTATAGATAAATCAGAATAACAACACAGACAGAAAGGACAATAAGTGGAAAGATAGGTTGCGAGGCAACAAAACATACGCCCACAGCAGCTAAATCGTCCGAGCGGGCGACAAGGGTTGTCGCATATTTATTCCTTTGTAGGTAATTGGGGGCCTTTACAAGACAGTTCCATACAGATCAGAATATAAATTTTGTCGTTTGAGGGTTTACAAGGTTCTACAAACTGAAACAAGGGTAATCTACAGAAATTGTTGAAATTTGACAGGCTTTTTCGTTTTACTAATTTAAATAATGCATATAAATTTCATACAGATCATATGATCACTTTTGTCATTCAAACGTTCACAATCGCCATAACTCTAGAAATTATTGACGGAAATTGCTGAAATTAAATAGACCTGTTTCACAAATTTAAATGATGCATAAAAATTTCATACATATCGGATGATAACTTTCATCAATCGAGCATTAACAATAGGTTTAACAAAGTGAAACAAGGGCAATAACTCTAGAAGTAATTATTGTAAATTGCTGAAATTCAATAGGATTTTTCGTTTCACTAATTTAAATCATGCATATAAATTTCACAAAGATCGGGTCATAACTTTTGGCGTGAAACAAGGGCAATAACTCTAGACGTAATGAAGGGGAATTGCTGAAATTTAATGGGCTTCTTCGTTTAACTAATCTAAATAATGCATATAAATTTCACAAAGATTGGGTGATAACTTTTGGCGTTGGAGCGTTCACAAGGTTCAATAAAGTGAAACAAGGGCCATAACTCTAGACGTAAGAAACGGAAATTGCTGAATTTCAATAGGCTTCTTCGTCTCACTAATTTAAATAATGCATATAATTTTCAGAAAGATCGAATGATAACTTTTGACGTTATAGCGTTCACAAGGATCAATAAAGTGAAACAAGGGCCATAACTCCAGACGTAATAAACGGAAATTGCTGACATTCAATAGGCTTCTTCGTTTCAGTAATCTAAATAATGCATATAAATTTCATAAAGATCGGATGATAACTTTTGACGTTAGAGCGTTCACAAGGATCAATAAAGTGAAACGAGGGCCATAACTCTAGACGTTATAAACGGAAATTACTGAAATTCAGTACGCTTCATCGTTTCAGTAATCTAAATAATGCATATAAGTTTCAGAAAGATCGGATGATAACTTTTGGCGTTAGAGCGTTCACAAGGTTCAATAAAGTGAAACTAGGGCCATAACTCTAGACGTAATAAACAGAAATTGTTTAAGTTCAATAGGCTTTTTCGTTTCACTAACTTAAATATTGCATAAAAATTTCACAAAGATCGTATGTTAACTTTTGGCATTAGAGCGTTCACAAGGTTCAACAAAGTGAAACAGGGGTCATAACTCTAGACGTAATAAACAGAAATTATTGAAATTAAATAGGATTCTTCATCTCACTAATGTAAACAACATATATAAATTTTAAAACAATGGGATGATAACTTTTGGCGTAAGAGCGTTCACAAAAAATTGTGGACGATGGACGGACGGACGGACGGACGGACGGACGGGGGCGACGGCAATATACTTCCACATTTCAATGTGGGCGTATAAAAATAAAACAAAATGGTCTTCTATGGTTAAGGTCCGGGGATGTGGGAACGAAGTACAGAATCCAGACGTTCAAAGCATTGCGCAAACATGACTGAAAAGATGAACCTGTCTGTTTTCCCCGAGAAGCAGGCTAAAAGAATTGAAGATCTGGGTCATTTCCTACTCGACTCAAATTAAATTTAGCCACACAGAGCAAAATATTAAAATATGCCACCTAAAGATAAAGGCTACTTCACTTATTTATAATCACAGAGATAACAAAGCAAATTACATGGCTGCCCTGGACAACGCCATCTTGTGTGGACAGAAACCCACCAACATTACATTTAATATCCTGACATTACTTCTTAGATTTCCGTTGTCACGTTAAACACTTAATAATTGCTAAATAATCAAATTGTCCATCGCCTAATGGGCAGACAAACTAGGTGTCATAAGATATATACAGAATATCTAAATAACTATATTCTCTCACCCCTAAAACATATAATTAAAGTAAGAAAACTGTACAGCGCTAACTCTCCGACAAAGCACACATTACCACAGACAATTTAAAACGTCAAAATGCCATACATTAACCTGAACGCCGCGATAGATCCATTCAAAACTCGAGGGTTGGCTGAACTTGCCAAAAACCCACGAGGTTAAACAGACCATCCACATAATTATTATTAATAATATTTCTTGCATTTACTGTATATAGCGGAACATTGCAAACTAAAGTCTGATATTATGCGCGTTTGAGAATTATTCTAACACTGGAGAATTTTCTTGAAAAGGTGTATCTTAAAGCTACGTTCCCAGAAAAGTATTTATCGGGTGGTTATTTCCAATAAAGGTATGGCAATTTTAGTATATATGGAAAGTAGAAATACAGGGGCGGATCCAGGGGGGGGGGGGGGGTGCTCAGCTACATAATTTTTTTGTAAATCAATACTTTGTATGAGAAAAGTTTCTCGGCCGTGTGCTTTATCCTTCATCGTCAGATGTGGGACAGAATGGGCACTCAAAGCACGAGATAATGATATAGACATTATGTGATATCACAATTGATTCACAATCAAAATTGACGTTAAACGAGGTGTTGAATTTCTCTGTTTAAAAAGCTCAATGTGTATGTATATATGATGATAGAGGCAATGCGGGAAGTGGGGGGGGGGGATACATTGCCTCAGGAACCTGCCCCTGAAATTCCTGGATCCGCCCCTGAAATATCCAATCTTACTAGAAAAATACTGGATTCCCTGAAAAACACTCATACAGGACAAAAATGTACGAGTTTCCCTAATCGACAGCCCGACGATTAGGAGTGTCTGCACGCGTGACGTCGAAGGTAGCACGCGGAGATTGAGCGCTTGATGTACATGTTGATAAACTTTATGAAGAGTTAGACGTACAACACCTGTGATAAAAATCGCGGAAAAGGACGTGGACAGTGGATAATCCGAGAATTTAATTAGGCTTCGATGTTTGTAATAAATAGTAGCGATAAAGGCATAAATAGTCAGCGATAAAGGCAACATCGTCTTTTATATGCAATGAATTCTCCTCCGACATCGCACCCGTTGTGTCACGTGACACAAACATGACCTATTTTGATGGAGTTTTTATAGCCGGGTATTCCCTGACAATTACAATGTTTTGAGATGGATGAAGCAAAATTATGATAAATTAATTAGTTTCAATATGTTTTTAGTCCAAATATTTCATCAAATCATCCAGTTTGTACCCGGGAATGTATCTTTAAACAAAGTTTTGAAATTCTGTACGGTTTAAGGCGATTTACTATAATCCTATACTCCATCAGGTTTCAGCATTATAAGCCAAGGGGCGTTTGGTATATTTTGGTGTATTTACACAAGGAAGTTTATATATTATCTAGGTTTGAGATCTCAGTGTTCTAGATGGTATATATGTAGCAACTGACAGGGGTAATATTATCAACATATTTACGAATCCTGAATATGATGCGGGCAGCGGGGTCCTAGGTGGATTATACATGTTTAGTTGATCTTGTGATATATTTATGAGGATACTGTGATTTGATGGGGGGAAGTACAAACGCAGTTGCTGTTGATACCGTGAGATAAAGATGAGGTATTCCGATATTCATGAGACGCATATTTACTGCCTGACAAACATTGGTTACATACTGATCCATCTAAACACACAATTTAAGTCATGACACTTGAATGGGTGACGGAGCTTGTGATCTAAATTGCACACGCTAGAGAACTGAATAAACGCAATATTCAACGTGCTGATAGAAACAGTTCCAAAATTTAAGCGCCTCGACTTTTTTGTTTTAGTTTCGATCTTCGCCGCAATCCTACTATATTACTAAGAAATTTTGCTATCTTAACTGTTGCTTTCAGTTAAAAAGAACTGTTAGAGAAAACGTTGTCTGTTACGTCACACTTAAAAATCAAAAAGCACAAATCAATCCATATTCCTGAAGCAATGGCCCGAGAAATCCCTACGAAACACTGCGAGGAGTATGAAATCAATCATGTTTTTCTAGAAAGTTTTCTTGGCGTCAAATTAATTCTTCTGAACATCTACTTCACATATAAACATGCAGGCTTTTTAATGTATAAATTGTTTTACTTCTATGAGCAGCTTAAGATTCAATTTGCAGGAAAATAAACAAATTGAATTAGATGTTCGATGTTAATAAACCCATGACTGCTGTCTTGATCTATGACAAGACTAATGTACGACAATCTTTACTTGACCTTTTAATGGGACTGTTCGTCTTAATATTTGATAACACTTGGCTTTTGTATGCAGCAAATATCATATTTACATAATACGCAGGGTACAATGAACAAGAATATGAGTTTCTTTGAGCTTTTTTCAAAGGATTTATATTACGATAGCGATTGATATTCTGAGTATAGTGAGTGGAAAATAGATTCAATGTGTGATTTATTCATGTTTAATATCAAAAACATATTGAATAAGAATTGCAATGTACGTCGAAAAATTATATTTAAGGATAAATGGTTGAATTTTACTTTGATTACGGTGAATTGTTACAAATGAAATGAACAACAAAATTACTTGTAACCTGAGCAGAGACTTCCTTAGGGAAATCGATGATTTGATTGTTTCAATTTCTCCAACAATAAAGCAATAATCAAGTAGTGTTATTCCTGCGAGGTTTGTAAATTGTATTGTAGTTTGTTTCGCTCAATCTATCTCAATGGAAAATCACAGAAGTATGGTTCACTTCTATATAGTTATTAATTTTGTAACATTCTTTATCGTTAAGCCATCGTAGTTCCTGTGTTTCCGCCCCGATATGAAGAAATGAATAAAAAATTTATTGTTTGACGATGATCAACAGATAATGTATTAATGAAATTAGTTTTTTGATTAAAAGCGAAAAAGACAACCACGAAGTTCATTTCTAGATTAAATTATGAAAAATATTTAGTTGGCTTATATTTAATTTATCTCATATTTCAGAATTGGGTAACATGATCAAAAACTATGTTTTAAAGGACAAATCCCGATAATATTTTGGAGAATAAAACTGCTTAATTTTGTGTTAAAATCCTCCACCTTAGGGCCGAGCAACCAACTCAATAATGTGATACGTTTTCAAACAACTTAAACCGATAAGTCTTCATCTGGAAATGTAGACCGGTGTCTCAAGTTGTATTATACGGTGTCTGGATAAAACCAGGCTTTTATTTTATAAAAATAATGTGTAGGTGAAATTTACCTTTCGTTATCAAGTACAGCACATGGGTCATTCATTGCATAGAACTCTAAAGGAACGGGGATCGGTTATCAGGTCAGCCAACGAAAAAAATGACCTGAAATCTTAAAAGGGTTACGTGTCCGGATAACCAGTTTTGACGTTCACGTCCAAACGACTAAATATTTTGAGCTGAAATTTTGAGACACGGTAAATACACCATTTCTCCATATGTTGGCGTATAAATTTTATACGTACTCGGATTTTTAATTTTGAGACTCTGTTCAAATCGGGATAGTCCCTTTAAAGATTGACTAAGTGGGATAAGATTTGAATTTATAGATTGAAACTAGTGCCTCTTGATTGAAATAAACTGCAGCTATACTAAAGGAAAGTCATCGTAAAGAAAAGTGTGTTTAAGTACATCTACAGTAGATATCGCTTGTGTGATAACTTTCATAATCTACTGAGCAATATCTCCTAGGAGATGTTGCTTTCAATCTATACCACAGAATTATATTTAATTATTTGTACGTGTAAGAAAGGGTTGGGCGATATATAAAATCTTCTAATGGCCTATTTTGATATGAAAAAATACTCATAGGAGATTTTCTATTTACCATATCGCAGGAGATTCTCTGTTTATCATATCTATAAAGTGATCACTAGATTGTTTTAACAGAGTTACTTAACCCATTTAAGGAATTTCATTCTTCAAATGTATGGGTGACTTCCACCACTATAACTTTGCTAATTACATGATTATCTAGTGGAATCTGTAAACTCGTGGTAACCTGGACACATAAACTACTGGAAGTTTACATGTCTTCCAAAAATATTACAAGAGTCTCTCAATAAAATACATATTCAACTATCTCGTCAACAGGCGAAATTTTACTAGAAGCATCGCCGACAGGTCAAATTGGACTGGAAAGCATCGTCAACATGTGAAATTTGACTAGAAGCATCGTCGACAGGTGAAATTGGGCTAGAAGCATATTGTCTGGTAGCCCACCTCTGCTCTTGTACAGTAGTACACCAGTCACTACCCGTGTTTATATGACGCGATATTTTAAATTTGGATGGATTTCAGAAATGAACCGCGTGTCAAACTACTACCCCAACAGATTCACAAGATCAGTCGCGTGGAATAAATAATTAGTTCTGTATGAGTACAGAAAGGCGCTTCTACCCAACACTACGATAGAAATTAGCCACAGTAAGTTTAGATGTTTAAGGGCAGGCCATGAATACATGTATTGAAGAATTGCATGATTTAAGTGCATCTCTTAAACGAGATTTAGAATCACCCAGTACATATTTCAAATTATTTATACCCCGTCAAGCTTCGCCCGTACACGGAGCAAAGTATGATTTTCATCTGACCAATTAACGCAACATCGTACAGCACTTCAATGCACGCACCCTACCTTGCCTCAATGCACGTTTAAATAAATATATATGTTATGATGGACAGGGGTCCTATTTTGAATAAAATGTGTATTATCGGCTATATAGTACAATGAGTTATAATAGCGTTAAGAAGCCCACCGGGTTAGACAGGTCACGTTACTCATGGTCATACAAGATTTTGGAATCAAACTCACTAATACACAAATGAAACTCCCTTGATCTGGACGATTCAGGACCAAGAGTTTCCCAGTGAGGCAATTCTAGAGTGGTACTGTTGTATCATTTAATTAATAAGTAATACTTTTTAAGTTTACTTTCCCTTCGTAGAATGTTCGTCTTTATTTAATATATTATGCAATAAAAAATGGCTTATACTTACAAGACTACAATGTTGGATGGTATACCAACAACGACTTCAGTGAGTCCTTTAGAACGACACGTTACAGTTGGTCTGGTAGATTCTAGATTACAATCACATGGTTTGCCTAAAGTTAGACTAGAATAACATGCTAATCTTGCACCGTTAACATCGGTTAAACACAAAACACACAAAACCATCAACAATTCACTAATCCACACATCCATTTTGGCTGCAAACATTTGTATCCAGAATGAGATACCAAGGGCGCTAAATCACACAATGGAGCTGTTGCAGCTAATATCTACTGTACTCATATCTAATAGCCACGCCCAGATAAAATCTTAGGTACTTTTTCTCAATAGTTGCTTCTTTTCTATATCCCGGTCACATGGTTCTCCTCGCAGATTGTTTTGCAGTTGTTGTCAGTGAGTGTTGTTTGTATCTGAGTGCACTAGATTATCGAGTATTTCTTTACAATGTTGATATGAAGTGCTCCAATCACATCTACTTGAGAGTTCTAGAATAGAATTGAAACACATATAAAAAATCAATACAAATGAATAGAATAATGAAATTATGAATATTTGAAAGAACTTATGTTGGGATCAGGGTGCTAGCCAAGCATTGAATTTGTATTAAGTTAATGAGTTAACAGCGTTTCTAAAGCCAATATGTGTATTATTCAGTCTGTTGCGTTATCTGGATAACATGCATTAACCCTTTAATGATTGTAATTTCAAATTATTCTGATTATGATATATATTGCAGAATATAGCTAATTTAGGAATAAAATACCATTTTCAACAACATTATGACAGATTTTCCATAAACTTTTCTCATTCTTAATCCCGTTCCAATAATGGGACGCTGCCCACTATTGATACAGTATTTTACAATGCATTAAACGATGAATTGATCGAAATAATTACATTAATATCTGATAATTTAATCTACGATTAAAATTTATAAGGTTTTCCTTCGCAGTAAATATTAGTCACTAGACGTATCGTCTATGAACAAGTGGTTGTCATGCAACAAACGCCCATATTGCGCATAAGATAGGGCCCCTTTTATTTCACCACTGCTTTACATCGAATATGAAAAAAATATGTTAGAAAACTGTAGCATCTATGGCCTGCACAAGGTCTGTGGGCAAGGGACATAACTTGGGAACGGAAGGCCAATGAACACTGAGTATCGATAATGTTTGTCCTCTCTTGATCACAATGCTTCACACAAAATTTGAAATAAATCAGGTACGGAAGGCTCTGGAACGCTGAATATCAGCGGTGATCGTCCTCGGATGGGCCAAATGCTTCACGCCAAATTTGAAATATAAGGTTTCCAGCAAGGGGACGAAGCTTTAAGGCTTCCAGCAAGGGGTCGGAGCATTAAAATGATCACTAACTTCTAATAGCTAGTCAAGATCCTGGTTTATATTAAATAATCTTAATATGAGTTAGTACACGATGATTTATATGGAAAATTTTCCTAAATAAAAAAAAAACAATACATTTATTTGGCCAATGCAAAAGTATTATTACTCGCATTCCATTCTTTGAATTTTTGGCAACATGGGAAGCTGCCATTTTGGTAAAGTGAGGTAACTCCGCAGAGCCGAGCTTGCCTTGAATTGATCAAGAACATCTAGGCACAATCTTATGACTGATAAACTTTTCTTGCTTTTAGAACGTCGGCCACTTTAACAGGTTCCATTGGTAAAGTTCGCCTGTTCTTACTGTATGTTTGTATTTTATGATTTTGTTGTAATTTGGGCCGTTGGTGTGCTGTATTTTATTACATAATGAATTCTGTAACAAAATACTCATTTGTATATGCAATTATAAGATGTTTCTCTTCTGTTACCTTGACCATGAATACGCTAGGACACTAATGGCCTTAATCGTAATCATAGTGGCTAAAATTAGACTTCAAAAACATTGAGTGGTAAGATATACATGTAGAGTAGGCCAACCAAATTTAAAACCGGAATGAAATATAGATCAAAACTTCAATAATGCATAATTTGTCATTTTTTTATGAACACATTTAAATTATGGACATGGTGTGTATCTATAACATAGCTTTCCTCGCCGGTCACTTTTTGCAACAGATCTATATTTCGATTCTTTTTTTTATACTTCCGATGGCCTCTACTACATGAAGATCTGTCAAACTGAAGAGGGGGGTTGCGTCAGGGTGACCTTTGACCCCATGGCGTCATACATTTGATAAACCAATCAGCGTTGATGTGTTCTAGTAGGATACCCACAGTTCCGTGCATCGCACGCCAAGAACTCGCTGCAACAGATCGTTTCATTGGCTAATCCATCACATCAAACAGAACGCGGATTATATAACAACTCTTCCAGATCCTAGTGTAGTAAAGACAAATAAAACGAAATTTTAAACTATAAACAACGAAACGAAATAGGATCTGTGTTTTAATCAGATTGTGTTTGCAACTCATGTACTTTAGGCGCTTTTGACGAAAAACGCTTTTGTCGGTCATTGGTAAGATCGTTTTTGTCGGTGATTAGTAAGACTGTTCTTGTCAGTGATAAGTAAGACCGTTCATTAGTAGGACACACATTCATTATCGTTACAAATATCCCCGTTTGTAACATCCAACAGTAAGGTATTCCGATCTTTAGTGTAATTTAAATTACTAACAAATATATTTCTTGCATTTTTGTATATCAAAACAGTTTGTTATTACTACTAATTACGTTTCGAAATACATGCATAACTTGCCACAGACCAGAGTTGTGACCCTTGATTGAAACGATTATTGACAACCATATGTTATCATAACCGTACTTTCTCTTCAAGGTAACATTCTTGGCAGATGTTCATCAAATTTTTAAAAAGTACGGCAGAGGTGGCCCCTGTCGATTATAAGTGTTTTTATATTTAAGTCATTGTCACTTGTTTACGATTACTGACAAAGCTAAAGGATTCTTCGGCGGGGCGATTTACCCAATACTACCCAATACCACCCACTACCACCCGAATACCACTCCAATATCACCACATACTACCCAATACTACAACATAATGGTGCCTAATGGGCATATTACTTGATTTGTTTCAAAAATAGTGAGATATATCGTGGGAAATGTGATTTCCGATGTCTGCCTCCCTATATCACCCAAAATCAAGCAAATAATAACCCAATACTGCCAAATACTTATCAAATACCACTAAATACTACACAATATTATAAAATACAAACCTAATATTGTCAATTAGCAGCAGATCAGTATAATAATTGCAACGAATATTCGATAACTTATAGATCTCGATCATTATTTACAATATAGTCACTCCCTGCCTAATCCCAAAACCTTGTGTCCACTAATAAAACACCCAGGGAAACAATCATTATGATGAAGAACTGGTGGGTGTAATTGTTCGTACTTGGTTTTCTTTTATTTACTTATACTTCGCAAGTTACATTTGTATAAGAATATCCATTTTCAGATATAAGTAACATTAACCTAATATTATGTCCTCCACACCCATATTTCTTTAAACTGCCGATTTAATGTTAAGACAAATCTTCATTCTGATATATTATGACAAATATATAACTTTATTAATGTTGCAAATAAGACAAATAATTGTCATTTTATTTCTGATTTGCATAATGCGAATGTCTTATCTTAGAATATAAATGCATATTGACAATATCATCCCCTCCCAATAGAACAAACATATTTCTTAGCTAGTAAATATATTGAATATGAAATTATATTGATAACAGGTCCCTAGTTAATAACTTATATCTCTCTCCTTCCTTTAAATCGCTGATATTCTATCGCACACTTTGAAATCATTCAATAATAAGGCTTAAATATGCAATATGTAAGATTTGGATAAAGAGCTGGCTGTTCTTGCTATATTAGTTTCAAAATAGATAACTCAAAATTAATATATTGAAAATTCCATTCCAATTACTTTATTCTGAGCGAAGATATCGCTGTTTGAAGTTTTGAGAAGATGTGGCATATTGTTTATTATCGTTGTAACGTTACCTTTTAATCGAGACTCAGTCTCGCTTCTTCATTTTTAAATTAAATCATTAAATGGCGATCGCATTTCAATCCGTTTAAATCGTCGCCATCCGATGGTCTAGATAGTCGTGTGAATAAATGTCTAAATAATTGAAGCCGAAATGAAAACCTGCAATAGGCAGATTTAGCACTTACATTAATGCATCTTTATATCAATGAATAGTAATTAACTTATGATATGGAAATGGATGACGGGGGAGTCAAAGGGTTACTGTACAATACATTTGTACAAGACATTTATATTACAGAATATTTCTGTTACTGCTATATATATTGAGGAAGACAATGCAGGAAAAATGTACAACAAAACATAACCAGTACAGGAATAGCACAGATAGTATACATTTTAAATCAAAAAGTAATTATTAGACTTTAAACCAATTTTGTGTCGTATCTTATAAATAGTCATGTAAGCAAGTTTTCGTGCATCCTGGGACCTTTTGTGACATAGATATTATATAAATATGTTTGTCTTACGGTTGTAAATAACAATATATGTAACTTACAGACTACGTGCTCCTATATAGATTTGGTACTATTCTTATAACATCCAAATGTGGTCACCACGTTAACACCGTCTCTCTCTAACAACCTCTACTTCATAGTGCCGTGTAGTGATTTATTGTACATTGTTTGACGGATTAATATATCAATAGACAAAAATTGACCTCAAATATATCCTTGTGTCATTAAAGGAAAACAATAGCCTAAAGGGACAAGTGTACAAATGAGTTATTGTGTCCAGCAGCCTATTGTCTGTAGATCCAATTTGTATATTGTTGAGACTAATCTTTTCTAGCTTTAGATTAATTAAAGATATACTATTACCATACTTATTATCACCTCTCATAAAATATTTAAAAATGATTGATGTGTCGTGTTAGTTCCCCGGGCTACAGCATGGCCTATATCCGATTAAGTCTATTTTGTATACAGCTGTACAGATTTATCCTTAACCACTATGTATCACTCACTATATCCTCTACGATTCTCTTGTCATCCAAATTTCAATTAATAACATTTATTGGCGAGAAGAACAGAACACAGTATTTGTTTGGGCGACGTTTCGAAGAGTATTCTCCAAACGTTATCTAGCTAATACAGTAATACAAGAATTATGAGATCAATATATACAGAAAAACTATAACAACAATTAATGAAACCATACCCCCTTTGATCTTGTTGTCCTGTATGGTTTCATGAATTATTGTTATAGTTTTTCTGTATATATTGATCTCATAATTATTGTATTACTGTATAATATTTTGTTAGTAAGTATCCAATTCTGAAGGTAGGAAGGGGGGGGGGGGTAGAATGGATTTTTATTCACTCAAACTATTGTTATTTTTATACTTAACAATGAGTTGTGTGCCTTGCGCTCATCTCTCGATTAGGATATTCCATATTCTTATATTAACGGAAAGAGGTTGCATATAAAGAT